TTGACAAGTCGATCCTAAAAGTCACATGTAAATTCAAGGAACCCAAAATAACCAAAACAACTTTGAAAAGAAAGAACAAAGCTACAGGAATTACTTCTGACTTCAATAATTACTACAAAGTTACAGTATTCAAGACTGTGTGAAACTGGCTACAGATCAATGGAATAGAATTGAGGATATAAGTATATAGCTATATTTACAGTCAACTGACTTTTGACAAGGGCTCCATGGCAATGCATGGGGGAAAAGAACAGTCTTCTCAAAAAACCGTGCTGGGATAACTGGCTTTCCACATCCAAAAGCATGAAACTAGACTTCAACTCCACATGGTAAACAAAAATCCCCTCAAAATGTATCAGAAACCTATGTAACCTATCTGATAAGGGTCTAGTATCCAGAATATATGAAGAAACTCTTGCAACTCAACCACGAAGATAAAACAACCCAATTCCAAAATGGGCAAAGAACTTGAAGAGTCATTTCTCCAAAGAAGACATACAAATGGCCAGCAAACCCATGAAAAGATGCTCATCGTTAGTTATCAGGAAAATGCAAGTCAAAAACCACAGTGAGATACCACTTCACACCCACTAGGAGATGTAATGAAAAAAATGGAAAATGGTTCGGAGGAGGAGGCCATGGAGAAGCTGGAACCTGCCTACGTTGCTGGTGCGATTGGAAAGTGGTTTGGCCACTGTGAGAACCGCTTGAAGCCCTAGGACACACTACACTGTGACGAACCCTGAAAACATTACGGGAAGGGAACGAAACCAGACGCAGCAGACTGCATATGCAGGATTCCATTTGTGTGACTTGTCCAGAATACACACTCCATAGAAACAGAAAGCAGCTTAGGGTTTGCCGGAGGCTGTGAAGAAGGAAGAATGAGGAATAACCGCTAATGAATATGAGCTTTCTTTTTGAGGTGATAAAATGTTCTGGAATTAGACTGTGGTGATAGTTGCACAACTCTGTGACTGTACTAAACAGCACTGAATTCATTGTGCCCTTTAAAGCATTATTTTATGGTATGAGAGTCACATCTCAGTTTTTAAAAATGAGGGCTGCCTTTAGTCCCATATATGTATTTTTTTTATCGTGGTAAAATGTACATAACATTTGCCATTTTAACCATTTTTAAGTGTACTATTCAGTGGCATTAATTACGTTCACATTGCTGTATCACCATCACTAATATCTATTTCCAACATTTTCCGCCTCCCCAAGCAGAAGCCCCGGACCCATTAAACAGTAACTTCTCATGCTCTCTCCCCTCAGCGCTTGGTAACCTCTAATCACCTGTCGTCTCTATGAGTTGGCCTATTCTTGATAGTATATATAAACGGAGTCATACAATATTTGTCCTTTGTGTCTGGCTTATTTCACTCTGTATGTGTCCAAGTTTAATTCCTGTTGTACCATTTACCAGAATTGCATTCATTTTTTTTGACTGAATAATATTCCACTGTGTGTATATACCACATTTCATCCGTTCCCCTGCTGATGGACATTTAGGCTGTTCCCAGCGTTGGCTGCTGTGAATGATGTTGAACGTCTGAGGAGCTGTCTTCCACAGAGGCGGCACCTTTTCCGGTCCTAACCACAATGTATGAGGGTTGATATTTCTATCGTTGCCCAGATTCTCCTTTAAAAAAAATTATAGCTGTCCTAACAGGTATGAAGTGGTTTTGGTTTGTATTTCCCTGGTGGCTAATGATGTTGGGCATCTTTTCATGTTGGCGTTTGCATATCTTCTTTGGAGGAATGTCTATTCAAATTCTTTGCTCATTTTTAAATTGAACTGTTTTTCTTTTTATATTCTAGATATTAAGCCCTTACCAGACATATGGCTTGCAAACATTTTCTCCCATTCCGCAGATTGCCTTTGCACTCTCTTGGCAGTCTCCTTTCATGCACAAAAGTTTTTAACTTTAATGAAGAATAATTTATCTAGTTTTGTTTTGTTGCCTGTACTTTTGAGTCATATTTAAGAAATCATTACCAAATCCAAAGTCATGGAGATGTGTATTCATGTTTTCTTCTAATAGTATTATAGTTTAGTCTTAAATTTAGGTCTTTGATCAATTTTGAGTTAATTTTTATACATGGTGTGAGGTAAGGGTCCAACTTCAAAGTTCTGCATGTGATTTGCCTACCGTGGGAATGTAATTCCTACTTCAGAGGGTTGTTATAAGGACTAAGAGATTACTGCCTGACTGAGAGTGAGAAGTACTTATTCATATTATTTAATTCATTGATGTTGTTGTTCATAGTAGTATTATCTCACCGCCATTAACTACCAGCTGTCCTATGGGGAGGTTCACACTGACTTTAGCCTTGAGATGCTGGTGCGATATTGCCCCCTGGTGGGCATATTATGAACTGCACTAGATAAGTCTGACCCACGGGAGTCAAAATTCAGCTACATTTCTTTCCTCTTACCTGTAAACATTTCAGTGTGTACTTCTTAAGAACAATGATATACTCTAACATAACAGTACAATAATCAAAATCAGGAAATTTTACATTAATACAACTGATACAAAATGTGAATATAACTTTGTATCCGACCCACAGTTTAAAGTCACGTTTTGCCAGTTGTCCCTATGGTGTCCTTTATAGTGAATTATTTCCTAGTCCAGGACCCCTCCAGGGTCACACGTGACATTTGATTGCCAGGTCTCTTTAGTAGACTTTAATCTGCAACCTTGTCTCAGCTTTCCTTTATCTTTCATGACCTTGACATTTTTGGAGTTCAAGCCGGCTATTTCTCAAAATGTCCCTGACCTTGGTTGCTCTGCTGTTTCCTCTTGGCTAGGTGCGTGTTACCAGTTTGTCAGGAATGTCACACGCTATGTCCTTCTCATGCAATGTGGGTTTGTACCGATATTGATTATGTTAATTAAGTTGAAGGCCCCCCTCTGAGGGCCAGACATGAGTGGAGACTTGCCTGTAGTCACGCAGAAAGGTAGGATCCTCAGCTCAGGGTCCCTGCAAGCGCTCTGGAAAACTCCAGCAAGGCAAGAACTGCCCCCACTGCCCTGGGCCTGCACCCTGACGGGATCGACGGGCCGGTCAAGGTCAAGGCCAAGGTCATGGTGTTACTGCCTTCGGGCCCCATCTCCCACTGGTCCAGCTGCCGGGGAGGGGCCTCCTCCTTTCTGCCTTGCTCATTTCTAGCTCTCTTTACTAGGACTTTTTCATTCCACAGATGGATAATTTTTTAAAATATGTTTCCGCCAAAGCTAAAGTCCCTTTGGAAGACCCCTCTTCTCGGTCCCCTCCCCCTCCTGTTGCCAGTTTGGTGTCAGAGATATGTATCTATACTCCCAGAAAAAAATACACACTATGTAGCATTCTCTTTCCACAAATGGTCACGGTGTGTAGGTAGGTCTGTCTGGAAGAAATGAGCCCGCAGGACTAAATGTTTTCAGCTGCATTGTCATGTTCCAGCCTGTGGCTACACAAGAGGCTGTTTGGCTGATCCCCCATGGGTGGACATCAAGGTTGTTCCCGGTGCTTTGCTCTTATGAAACACATCACCCTGGGCACACAATCCAGGGCTTTTCTGGGGGAAATGCCCAGCCCTGGAGCTGGCCTGCCCCTGGGGCACCCGACTTCCGCAGCAGCATCCCTGCTAAAGGGGGTGAGGAGGGGCTAGTGCATTTTTGTCCACTCAACCTGGGGGATTTGCCTGTCTTGTGGGACCTCTGAGAGCAGCCAGACTGGCTTTTCACAGTATGTTTCAAGGAATCTTAGGGCTCCAGACAGGATGGGGGACCAGGAGGAAGGAGTGGAGCTCATGAGCCCAGACCCTCACCCCACTCCAAGAGCCCCCTGCCTTCACCTGGTTTCCAATGAAGTTTCTCTTTTAAAGAAGAATCTTTGCTGTTTTAAAAGTCAAACATTTCAGATGGAGCCCAGCCCCTTACCTGGTGCAGGTCTTCTTTCTGTATCACGCCTCCTGGACCTGTTCCCAGCAGTGCAGCCTCTGGCCACAATCTCGTTGGTGAGGCCGCATGACCCGTACTGAGCTCCCAGATGACAACTTGCAAAGTGGTCTGTGCCAATGGGCTTTTGAGCCATTGGCGTTGGCATTTCGGCGTGTTCCAGTTGGGTTCCAACAGGCCCCTTAGCAGCGGCCATTTCTGTGACCTTCTCTGGCTCACACTAGGTGGCGCTATTAAAATGCATATTGCTGGGTCCCGTTCCCATAGGCTGATTGAATGGATTTTGGGGGGACTCCGGAATGGGCATTTTCCAAGCTTTGCAGGGGGTTCTGAGGGGACAGGTCCAGACACTGGCATGGCAGAGCTGGCCAGGGCCTCTCCCCGGCAAACCTCAACCAGGCTGGGAGGGCTCGAAGGTCATTTGTTTGATCCAAAGTCTTTGTTCCTTGGACGAGGGATGCTGAATTAATTAGAGCCTGTAGGGAACCACTGACCTGGGCCAGGGTTTTCCAAAGTGGGGTGCCCTGGCATGCCGGAGAGATGGTTAAAGTGCAGGGGCTTGGGCCCAACCCCGCACCTGTCAGGGAGAAGTCTCTCAAGGTGTGGCCTGGGAATCTGGTGTTTTAAGCAAATTCTCCAGGGAGAGCCACCCAGTCCAATTCCCTCCACACCCCTAAAAGATAAGGGAAACTGAGGTTCAAAAGGGAGAAGTGACTTATCCCCAGTCACAAGACACATTTGTGGCAGAACGGGTTCTAGACACTGAGCCTCAATCCCCAGGGCAATGTTCAGCCCCAGCGCTTAAAGGTCTAGGCTCTTCTTCACCTGAGATGCCCCACCTGGCTGGTGGCCCTGGGGCTGGGCCTCTGCTATCTGGAAGAGCTTCAGTTTACAACCCTGTGGAAATGACCTTAGATTTGTCCCAGTCACCGCGTGTGGGGGGAGGGGTGGCCAGAGTGGCCATGCACGCAGACATCTGCGTCTCCACCCTCCTCCGCAGGCCTAGGTCAGAGAGACAGACATGAGCAATGCGTACAAACGGAACCCCACTTTATTAGCAGTTAGTTCGAGATTGTACATTAATGGAGGAAGGTTCCCACTTTTAACACAACCCAAAACGGCTGGTTCAAGAGCCCTGATCAGGTGAGCTGGGTAGCGCCCCCTTTCCACACCTCTCCCCACCCCCACAAGGGAAGGCAGCCACAGCCTGCTCCCCCAGCGTGCCCCCCACCCTCTCCAGTCAGCCCTCTCTTCTCCCCAGGAAATGACATGAATTTCATGCACAAATTACAAAAGGAGCCCTCTTGCTGATAATAAAAGCTAGCACAGTCAGAGAAAACCTCTCCTCCCTCATTCCCCTCAAGGGCCACAGAGAGGAAGGAGAGAGGGAGGGGTGAACTTATTAGGATAAAACACAGCCAGAGTCCCCCAAGCCCTTGACGTGGACCCCACACAAAACCAACACCCATCCCTGGAAGGAGCGGAAAACACCTCCGGCTGTCTGAGCTGGCGAGGGCAAGCCATGGGGGCAGGGGTGGGGGCGGGCCGGCCCTCATCCTCCCTTCCCGAGAGCAAACCTAACTTCCTTTCTGACATTTGAAGGGCCCTGCTGTAGTTTCACCTGCTCATTCTATAAATGGGGAAACTGAGGCCCTGGGAGGAAAACTCTCATGCAGCGACTAAACTGTACACCGTCTGGATGGGATTTCCCACCTCCTGCCTCCAGCCCAGTGCTCTTCCCCTCCTGCCCCCGTTTGTGGGAGGCGGTTCCTGAGCTAGACCCACCCGATACAATCTCGGGGCCTGGCTCTACTCCAGTGCACACAGACCACGGGCCTCCCGGAAGTGAAGGCCGAGAGACCCCAGCAGAGAGAGAGATGGAGAGGTAAAGAGCAAGCAAGAGAGAGAGAGAGAGAGAGATTCGGATGCTCTTTGGCGCCCTGAGGTCCATCACCAGGATCAAAGCGGGCAGCACAGGCTTTTCTGAGCCAGAGACGTCTCATTTCCAAGAGGCCCTATACCGTTTGGTCCGGCCTCCACGCTCGGGCCTCCTCCTCCTTGAGGACCCCCAGGCCCCTCTGCGAGGCGGCCTCTCTCGCCCTCCGCTGAGCTCCAGGAGCTCCAGCTGGCCCCTCTGCTGGTTTGGCACTTGGTACAGGTGACACTAAAGGGGCGCCTTAGGCTGGAGGGAAACTGTCCAATCAGCACAATGGCAAAATCCACACAACCTCACTTGGTCTTGACAACGCGGGGCTAGGGGAACTCGTCCTGCGACACCGGGGGAGAACAAGAGGACAGACGCAGAATGCTGGATTTCTCCAAGACAGCAGGCCCACTGGCCTCAGAGATGTGCCACTTAAAAAAATCAAAGTGAGCAGAAGGAAGACTTTTCAACATCCAAGGAGATTTAAAAAGTTACAAAATGCAACGCGTGCCCCTTGATTGGATGCGAATTCCAAAACCCAGTGTAAGTTCTTTGGGGGAAAGAGGAATACGGATCAGAGGGCAGATGTGAACGTGTCGCTGTCTCCGGTGTGATACTGGGTCACGACACAGGAGAAATGTCTTATTCTTCGCAGATGCAGGCTGCAGCATTTGGGGGTGAAGTCTCCTGATTTTTATTTTCAAGTTAATTCACAAAAAAACTCTACATAGTGAGAGAAAACAAATGTACCAAAATGTCAATTTTAAATCTAGGTGGTGGGTTAACAAGCCCGTGGGGTCAGCCCCACGTGGGGACCACCACTCTCTGGAGCAGCCCGGTAGCCCTCTGCTCCTGGGGACAGACTGCTGCCCCCTCCCCTGGGCCCCGGAGACACTGGCTGCTCCTGCTTAGGGCCTTGGAAAGGCCTATCACAAGACGCCCGCCCTATAGGTGACTCTGGAACCCCGCGTGGCTGAGGCAGCGTCAGCCGTACTCCCTGCTGCACCCAACCTCTGAGGCGAGGGCTCGTGGAGGGGTCGGCAGAATGGGTGATGAAGTCATTTACACAATTTAAGCTATTTTTCTCTCTCTTTTTGGCCAAATGCTTGCAGTGAACTAGAGAACATTAAACAAGCTGATGCTGCTGCACCCAACGACCTCTGGTTCTTTCTTCTTGTGAGGGGACCTGTGTGCTCACTCAGTAGCTGAGAGTCCCTGGGGGACTTCTCTGTCCCCTCCGCAATACCTGCAGGTCCTGGCAGTGGGTCCTTGAGAAAGATTCATCAGTGGGAAGGGAAGGGAAGGAAGAGCAGTGACCAGACTTAGAACACACGGCAGGTCACGTCCCCAGCCTCCCAGAAGGGACTGGACAGAAATCCCCAATATCTCTTCTCCTGCGGGGTCTCACACCTGCCCGCGCCTTCCTCGGGCCAGAGGCCCCAAGAAGTGGAGCTGCCGGGCCAGAAGGCCTTCAGAGCTCCGAGGGTCGGGGACCGGCGTCCAGGCCCAGAGGGCGGACTGCGCAAGTGTGGCACTGGACGGTCCTCACAGGCCACGAGCCCAGGCCCCTCTCTGACTGCTGGGAGGTGAGACCGGGGACTTGCCCTGTGGAAGTCTCTGTGGGAGTCTGGGTCCAAAGCGTGGGCCAGTCTTCAGGGGCGTACAAGCTGCCATGCCACCCCGTCCTGGGACACTGGGCTCCTTGTCCCCCGCAGGGTTGACAGGCTCAGGACTCCCAGGCTCAAAGGCCCCGATGGGAAGCACGGTGGGGCCAGGAAACCACGCGCACGCAGCTGGTCCCGCTGAGTAGCCACCCTACTCAGGCCCAGAAAGGGAACTGGTTCAGAGCTGAAAGAGACCCAGGCCCTGCAGACTGCGAAGAGCCTTTGGAGGTGGGGAGAGCAAGACAGGGATGCAAATGCAGATCTGAGAAAGCTCAAAGGCACCCTGGCTGGGAAGAAGTGGTTTGTCCCTATGTCCTGGAGTGACCAAGGGTGTGACTGAGGGAGGGACAGGAACCTGGCACAGAGTAGGGTCCCAAGGAAGGGTTCAGAGGCAGTGTGGCGTTGGAAGAGGAGCACTGGACTTGGAATCGGGAGCTGCACATTCAATTCTTGGCCCTGCTCCCAACCAGCTCTGTGACATCGGCCAGGGAGGCCACCACCCGCTGTTTCCATAGCCGAGGGGCCCTTCCAACCCCAAGACGCTACTGTCTTGTGAACAAGGCAAGGCTCTCCAGAAAGGACTTCCTGGGTGTCAGTTCAAAGCTGAACTGGCAGTGGGAGGGGCTGGGGAGAGCACCCCAGTTTAGTCACTTCACATTGTTAGAAGGAGGGTAGGAGCAGACCCCAACCAGGAAACGACCCAGAGACCCACTGTCCGCAGGAGGCCTGGAGATAGCCCTGCGGGTCCCTGCGGCCCCCCAGCTCCCAGGGCAGCTCCCCACCTAGCACCATGTGAGGGGAGGGGACAGGCCAGCCTCCCGCCCAGCCGCCCACGCCAGCCTGGCTGTTTCCTTTGGCTAAAGTTCCCCCAGGTCCCCGCACTTCATGAAGCCGGGTTTCCTAGAGAGAGCAGGTCTTCCTTGTGTGTCTCAACCCCTCTGTGCGCCTGACGCAGCCCTGGAAGCCACGGCACTTGGGAGAGACAGACGGCGCTCCCAGGGCACCTCTGCACTGCTGCCGCGAGGCCCTAGACGCGGGAAGACGTGGTCGCCCCCTCCCTTCCGTCTCGTTTTCGTGCACGGGGCTGGGGCTTGCCACCATTTTGTATGACTGAATTAAAAACAAACCCAACCAAAAAAATATAATATATATATACAAATTATATATATATATATATATAACACAGTGCGACCCCAGCACCCAAAGTATAAACTCTGGCACCAAGAAATAAAACAAAATATTAAAATACTTTAGCTTCTTAGTATTGGGGAGGTTAAGGGGGCCTCTAGGAACCCTCAGCCACAGGTCGCCGGGGCAAAGCCTCTCCCCAGCTCTGCCCGGAGCTGGCCGGGGGCGGCGGCTGGGCAGGCGTGGGGGCGCTGTGTGTACACTGGAACATGTATCCTGGCAGACTCCTGAACCGCCTCCGTCTTCTACCACAGGAAACACCACGCACGTCATACCCCAGGGTGAAAGGGGAGGGGGTGGAGGCCTGGGTCTCTGGGTCCCAGTGGCATGGCAGTGCCCCAGGGCCCCACAGGAGGCTTTGAGTGTCAGGCGGATGCTGTCGGGACCCGTGCTTCTCTCCCCAAAAAGGGCGGGTGAGAGGTGAAGGTATGAGCCAGAACGTGTGTGGAAGTTCAGAGTCCTCCCGAGGTACCCCCCTCACGTCCAGCCTAGCAACAGACTCTGGGCACCCGGCTGGCCCCGCGGAAGGTCCAGTCTCTCTCCCTGGTGTGGCGAAAGGCCCAGCTGGGCTCTTCTCCCGTACTGTCTGGAGGACGGGGACAACATGGCAGCAAAGACCGAGGGGAGGCCCTGCCGGGGCAGGGAGGGGCGGGCAAAGGAGAGGCCATGGTTGGTAGAACACAGTGAGGGACAGAAAAGAGAGTCTCACAGACCCCCTCCTCCCAGGGGGTGGCCTCCCTGCAGATGGCTGCGAACAGAACGGACCCCGGTGGCTCAGGAGGTCCTAGAGGCCGCAGACCCAGCGCTGGGTGCTCTGAGGCGCTTGCAGACTGGCCTGGGCTCTTCTCCGGGCCCTGCCTGGGCTCTGGCAGAGTATTGCTCGTACGGGCCTGGCCAGCCCAGGCCCAGCTCCCCGTTCTGCAGGTCAGTCTGGCTCAGCGCGCGGCAGGACGTCCCTGCCATCACAAACGTTCGGTCTGGCTGGGGGGCCGCGGCTACCTGGTGTTCTGGAGGTCCTCCCGCAGCCAGGTGGGCAGCGTCTGGCCCATCTTGTACAGCAGCTTGGAAAGCTCGATGTTGTGGTCCCGGTAATAGTCCTTCAGGAAGGCGCGGGACTGTAACAGGAAGGAAAGCTCAGATCTGGGGGATGTGCTCTCTCAAGAGCAATCCCTTCTCCTTAAGGCCACCATGCTGTTGGCCCCATCCCATTTGCCCAGGTTTCATTCACAGTCTTCTTCAAAAGGGTAGCCTCCAAAAGGACACCCCTACCTAGTAGGAGCACCAAAACATAGCACAAAAGGTCCAATTTCTTGTGATAGAAAAGAGGGAGAATTAAGCACAATCAGGCGCGAAAAGGCAAACATAATGAGAGTCACAGTGTGTGACCTTTCTCCTATGTCCTTTGACCTGCCTTCTCTCCAACCAGCCAGAGGTCCGAATGCGGCCCGTCCTTCCAGGCCCAACTCCAGAGACCCCTCCCGGCCTTTGGGAAAGCGTCTTCACCCCTCCTCATCCCAAATCCCTCGGGCCTGGGCCTCTCCAATGGCACAGAGCACCTCCTGCCTTGGATTCTACTCACTGCTGTGTTGACTTGATTTCCCTCCTCGGGGGGACTCCTAGACTAGGGGTTCCTTCAAGACAAAGACACGTCTGATTCATCCTCAAAGCCCCGTAGCATTCAGCCCTCAGGAGAAGGCAATAAATACTCATTTGACTAAATTGATTCTGACCCACCCTATCCCAAGCCATTATTTCCTTTTCTTAAGAAGGCCATCCAAAAAGAACCAAGGCCATCAGCGTGCTGGGGGCAGGGTGAAGGGGAGAGAAGGCGCCCTCCAGTACAGGGACCCTGTCCATTTATCCAGCTGCTGCAGGCGGTGTGTCCACCACTTACATCCAAGTCCATCTCTGGGTATTTCCGGCCCTTGCTCTTGCCCAGACACTTGGTTTTTCCTCCTTCGAGCAGTTGGCACCAAAATCCTTTCTTTGGATCAAACCTGTGGAGGTGGGGAAAGCCTGTGGGTGTGAGCTGGCCCAGACCACCTCCTTCCCATTTTAAGGCAATGGTCACAGACCCCAGGAGTGGTGGAGCCTGGGAGGCTACAGAATGAATGCCCCTCTGCACACTCTGGAACTCACAGGTTGCGTGGGGCCAACACCTGCAGCTGCTGGCCCACATTTTGTCTCTTACTCCACTAAGTCCACCTGCCCCGTCTTCCAGGGACGGACATGCTTAACTACAATGGTGGATATTGCATTTCTTCATAAAAGTGTTGCTCACCCCTGGGTTGGGGAACACTCAGGAGAGGTTTCTGGGAATTGCGAAGGCGGGGCGTGCGCAGGCTGCGCGTTGCAGCCGGAACTAGGACTACCAGCCAGGAGACGGGGAGGCTCAGAGCATGTGAGCCGCCGTCCGGAAAGTTTCACTTGTGGAGTGACTTTCAGAAATGATAGCACGAAGACAGCCTTCGGGATTTGAAGTCGTGCTGGGCCTTCAAGGGCATTTTGGGGAGAGGAGATCTGAAGCTGTCCCGGGGAGGGGAGGCACGGTGGCATCAGAATTCAGCCCCAGGTGAGGGACCGTTAGGAGATTCTGGGCACAGGGACAGCAGGAAAACAGGATTCACACCTGGCAGGTGAAGGAAGGAGGGTTTCTGGCAGGGCCACAGGGCGGGCACAGGTAACGGAGAGCATGGTGAGGAGACAGCAGCAACACCCATGCAGCATCGCCCTGCGCCAGGCGCTGGGGTGCGAGCTCCATGCGCACGCCTTCCCTCGACACAGTTATTACCTTAATCCCCAACTAACAGGTGAGGGGAGCGAGGCTTAAAGGAGCGAAGACATTTTTTTCAAGGTCACGCAGCTAAAGAAGTCACAGGTGGATCTGGGGTCCCCACCCACGCAGCTCTGATGTCACAGCCCACACCCTTAGCTGCTTCCCCTTCCTGCCCCACCTTCCACTTCCAGGGTAGTGAGAAAGGGACATTCTTGCTGTGAGACTTCCCTCGGAAGGCAGCCAGGGAAGGTGGCTTTGTTCCTTCTTCTTGAGACGCCCCGCATCCCGCCGTGTGTCACTCGCCTCTGCCCGGCCCTGAGCCCCTGCAGCGCGCGCTGGCGCTTACTCATCTGGGGGCACTATCAGTGCATTGGCGGTGGGCGCGAATGACGGGGTGCCATCGACGCTTTCTGCAGTTTCCTTTTCCTGAAACTATATTTAAGTGCTAATCTAATACTAAGAAACCTTGTGGGAATTGGGACTGCTCACAGCCCATCTGACTGACTTAGATACAACACTCTGAGAAACGTTGAGCCCAGACTGAAATGAACACCCAGGAATGAGACCGACCACAGTAGAACAGATTCATCACCTCCCTTTTTCTTAAGTCAATACCTTTATAAATATGACGCAAGTCGTATTAACATTAGTTTTTCTGCTAAACTGCCATCAAGGACATGCGTACAAAAGAGAGCCAGGAACCAAGGGTTCAGCTCCTGCCTCTGTTTCCCATCGTCCTCTGCCCTCAGGGAAGACTGGCCCCTCTGAGCCCTAGTTTCCTCATCTTTGCAAGACATGAGTTGGACGAGAACAGAATTTCCAAATGTTGGTAATTTGTTGATGCTAATTGGCCTGTGTCTCCCCCATAATCCGTTAAGCCTTTCGCTTTCTGGCCCAGCTGCCCACTCAGGAAACCCCGTTTGAAAGCCAAGGCCATACTCACGCCAAGGTTTTGTGGTAGTCAATGGTGTTGGTCACCCCGAGGAACTTCTGCACTGTGTCCATTACCTTGGCAGGTTCTGTTCGCAGCAGCTTGCCATCCAAGACCAGAATCTGGAATAAAGAAAAGGGAGAAGGGCGATCTGACCCCGTTCTCATTCCAGTGGCAAACAGGCCCCCAGTCCCCTGGGTCAGCAGCCATGGTTACAAACTGGGGTCCCTGCACTCCGGAGAACCTGTTTCCTCCTCCACCTCTGGACGGCAGGTGTCCTCAAGTGTCAGCTTCCCCTCACCAATGTCATCCTTCCCTAGAGTCTGAGCTGTCACCAAACCTGCCCACTGCTCCGATCTCTACAACATCCCCCTCTGGCCTCTCCCCAAGCTCCTGGCCTACAGGCCACTCTCCTGAGTCCTCCAAGTTTTCCTAAAACGTGCTGTGCAATCTGGGTCCCCTTAAGGATACAGACCCTGTTGTGAAGAGACAAGGACTTGGGGAATTCTCACACATCAACCTTGGGATAGACGAGACGGAAACTTCTGAAGACCCCAAAGGTCTAACTTGCCCGTGGTGGCATTTTGGCCCCATGACTGGCGAGAGTGTCTGTGGTTCTCTGCCAGCTGAGACTGCCCCCCAAAGGGTGAGGGACAGGCAGCTACCTGGTTGGCGTGAAAGGCGCTGAGCCAGCGCTCAATGTGGGTGGCATACCAGCCAGGGACCAGGCAACGGTTCTGGAGGGCGCGCAGCTTCGAGGACGCATCGGGCCCAGCCGTGATCACCTCGTGGAAGGTGTACTTCAGGGCCACTGGGTCATCGTGGGCTCGCTGGTGCTGCGGGCAAGGGGGGAAGGTTGGCATGTCATGGAGAAGGCACAAAGGAGGAAGCTTTAGTGGCAGAGCACTATGAGGCAGCCAGACGACCCCGGGCTGACACCAGGAGCCAAGGGTTCAAGTCCTGGCTCTGTTCCCATCGTCATCTGCCATCAGGGAAGTCACTGGCCCCTCTGAGCCCTAGACATCTTTGCAAGACATGAGTTGGATGAGAAGAGAGTTTCCAAATGTTGGTAATTTGCAAACCATCTCTGAAATTTCTGCAACATCCACAAAAAGTATGTGCCAATGCCAACATACTTTACATTGAGTCATCTTTCTTATTCACATACAGTTATTTCAAACTAAAACCCACTATTCCCTCCATAAAAGGATAACTAGAACAGTTGTCATATACAGAAAGTTCATAAACACAACAAGAACGCAACGTTCTCAAATGCCAGCCAGATACAGACATCTGCTACAGATGGTGACCTGCAAGTTCATACTCTTTGTTTGAAGACACAGCCTAGCAGTGTTAGAAAGGACTTCGGAGCCATTTGCACTGAATTAATAACTTCTCCTTTATAGAAATCAGAAAGTGTCAAAGATGGAATGTCCTGTCCCGAATGTTTATGTTGAACCCTGGACCCCCAATGTGGTAATATTTAAGATGGGACCTTGGGGAGGTGATGAGGCTTAGGTGAGGTCAGGAGCGTGGGGCCCTGGTGATGGGTTAGCTTCCCTGTAAAGAAGAAACACAGAGGGTTTGCTCTCTGCCACGTGAGGCCACAGGGAGAAGGCGGCTGTCTAAAGGCCAGGAACAGCCCTCTCACCAGGAACTGTATCGGTGGCACCTTGATCTTGGGACTTCCAGCCTCCAAAACTATGAGAAACAAATTTCTGTTGTTTCAGCCACCCAATCTATGATATTTTGTTACGGCTGCCTGAGCAGACCATGGCTGAGGGACTGGGGCAGAAGTAGAAAGGAGGAAATGCCAGGTTTGAACCGCCTGAAATAATGCCACGGGCCGCTGGCTCCTGCAGAACTCCCCCAGTCCAGAGACCAGGGGCCTGGATCGGGGGACCCCTCACCTGTCCCCACCTCCCACTGAGGACCGTGCCCAGCTCAGAGGAAGTGGGGGAGGGTCTGCAGCCGGCCCCTGCCAGTAGCATGGGCCCAGCAAGGCCCTGGAGTGGAGCTGGCCACCTAGAGTGGCCAGGCGAGCAGGCTCAGAGGGTGACAGGGAACTGCCCAAAGGGGCCTCTCGGGGCAGCCTTTCTGGACCAGCTGGTAGACCAGCCACCCGCAATACCCCAGCACACGGCAGGCAGGGGAGGACACCCCCAAAGAGGCCCAAGCCTATGCTCTCCTTAAAGCCCAAGGGAATGGTGCTCAGCAGAAGTTAAGTCAGATCATCAAAATGAAAGAAAGTTCTAATTCTTACATAGTCAAGTAAGGACTAGAAGTCACACTCTGGCACGGACGCAGTCCCGGTAACTTCCTCACCTGATCAGGGGTTTGCAACTTCCACTGAGAATGGCAGGTCTTGTGTCTTGTCCTTCCCTGAATTCCCACCCCCAACCCCACCCAGTGTCCAGCGAGGGGTCACCGTTAGTATCAGCTCAGAGCACTGTCCACCAAATCAAAGTAGAAACAGCCTTGACCTCTTACTGGTGTCAGACCGCGAGGCAGGACCCCAGACAAGGCCAGGATGGTGAGCAGGCCACTGTTGGCTGGGATTCCAAGGATTTCTGCCCATCTCCTCCACCAGGCTGGAAGCACTATGGAGGTGGGACTCTATTCTCACCTTACCCAGGAGCCTAGCTAGCACACATGATAGGCGATTAGTAAAAATCTTTTGAATGAATGCATAGCTGAGCGGCAGACAGAGCCCCGTGCCCCGACGCAAGCCCTGCCCCAGCCTGGCTCACCTGGTACCAGGAATAGGCCCGGTCCGCTGGGTTGATGAGGATGGTCAGAACCTTGGCTTTGGGCAACAGGGCGGCTGCCCGCCGGGGTGCCACTTCTGAATCAAAGTAGTTGGCGCTTTTCTCAAAGTAGAAGTCAGAGGTGGTGTTGGAGGGGATGGGGAAGAACTCCATGTACCTGCAGGAAGCCCAGAGAGGGGGCTCACAGTCAAGACTCATGAGGAACGGGCTTGAGGGATACAGCACAGAGGGCAAGGGTCGCTGGGGTTGGAACTTCCGGAATCAAGCAAGGTGTGTCGCTCCCAGGCCAGCAGGGGCTCACTTCTGGCAGGGGTCCTAGGGGAATGGCCAACTGGCAGTCTCCCTTTTCAGAAATCCTTGAGGTGAGGAGGAGCTGAAGACTTAGGGCATGATATGGGTTGCAGCATGGGAAGGGGTTGTTGTGTCTCCATCCTAAACAGATGCTCCCAGAGGAAAGCTGACAGAGCCCTAACCTTCACTGCCTCTAGGGGGCGGGCTGGGACTGGGAACGACAGCTGCTTCCCAGATGAACCTGCTATATGCCACCCAGAGTCACAGTCCACACCCGTCCTTTGGGACCATCTCCAGGTTGAGGACCCCTCAGAAACCTAAATGAACACTCTGGACTCCCCCCGACAAGGGCATCTACTCAGGCAAAGTAGAGGGACATTTCCAGGGGTTTGTGGGAACCACGAGGCCCACCTTAGTTAATGTGTAGGATCCCCGCTCTGTCCTGTGAGACAGAGATTCTCCAGAGTGGTCCCAGGGGGCCCTCCAGCAGAGCCACCCTACTCTCAGTTGCTGCTGAGGTCCGGGTGCACGCTCAGGGGGCCTGTGAGGTTCCTGCACCCCACCCTACTCACATCTACAAAGTCAAAATCTTGGGAATGCGGCTGACGACTTGCTCTCCCTCTCTCCTCTTTCTGAATTTTCTTCCTAACACGCATCTTCCTGTCCACAATCCACTGTAATACCTAAACCGAGAAAGCTCTGAAAACTGAAACTTCCCCTCATGTTTGTAGCAAAGGCACGTGGCAGCAAAACCAGACTTATTCATCTCACCGAGTATAAATATCTACGCCCTTTGCCACAGACGTACTGATGTATTTGCTAACAGGGCGCTGTCCCCGACCGTGCAGATGGTGGGTGTTGCGGCACATTACTCGTCCACGATCTGAAACATGCTGACTTCCAACAATACGTCTGGCCATGACAGGTTTTAGATAAGAGGATGTAGACATATTAGAGATAGAGACAGAGAGACAGGTAGGTAGGTAAGTAAATAGAGATATGAGAGATGAGAGAGAGAGAGAAATAGACATAGAAAAATACCAAAGAAAACCTTTGGAAGAATGGCCATCATCTCTCCACCCAGGTAAACCACTGACATAAAAAAAGAGTAACACATGGATAGGGTAAGAAACGATAAACAGAAAGATGCAAATTGAAAAATCAGAATATGAAACCATCCCCATATGGTCCCTACCCCGCAGGGTAACCTCTGGTGACAGGTTCTGTAGGAAGCTGCCATGCCAACCATGCCTCCCCCCATGTAGGGACCCCCCCCCGCCCCCGAAGGCTAGCGACCCGCCTCTGAAGGACCCACGAGAACAGCAGGAAGGGCCAGCTCTCAGGTCAGAACACTTGGATTTTGGCCCCTGCTCTGTCTCCAGCCCTCAGGACCTTGGACCTCAGGATGTGCCTGAGCAAGCAAGGGAGGGGCTGGACTCCGGCTTCCAGTAGCCTCTGGCTGTGAGCAGTAATGCAAAGGGGCCAAGGGCTTCCTCATCAAGTGTCCCATCTACGACAAGGTTCCAGCCCATGACTCTGGGGTCACTGCGCTTTGTCCCTGTTTACAGGAACTTGACTGGGTATGAGCAAGCACCAGCTGCTTCCTGCTGTTGCCCCGGCAGACCTCCTCCTGTGCAGGCTCTACAAAGGCCACCCTGTCCCGCTGCTGCGGCCTGAAAGACCCACTCACCAGTCGATGCCTTTGTGATAGTTGTGGCCGTTAAAAAACTGGATCTCCTCAAAGGTCTCTGAGCTGGGGTAGTTGCTGCTGAGGTCCGGGTGCACGCTCAGGAACAGGTAGAGGGCCGTGGTGCCTGTGCAGGTGGAAGGAGGCTGAGACCAGGGCCTGGCCCCCAACAGAGATGGGGTCTGAAATCCTGGGTTCTGGTTCTAGTTCTCCATGACTCACTGCAAGGTCCTGGGAAAGTCCTTTCCCTTCTCTGGGGCTCCACATCTGCACAGTGAAGGAGTTATACTACACCCAGTATGGCAAATACATGGCATGCATGTGAGTATCTCAACTGCTGCACCCACTGTGGACCTCGCTCATCCGTCACGGCATTCTTCATTACGGAGTGGGAACTCGGCTGCAACATCCTTCTCACCACTGTACGCCAGCAGCCACATCACACTCACTACAGTCTCCTCGTCATCCCAGAACCGGATGCTTTATGCTGGGCCCTGCCAGCGCTGGGCCTCTATTCTGACACTCAGGAGGAGCTCGGAGAAAAGGGAGCTCCAGACGCTCCAGTCTGCAGATGTGAAACTCCCGAAGGGCTAAGAAAGCTGGCTCAGATGCCTCCTCTCCTGGGTGCCCTCACTCACACCTGCTCCCCTACCCCTTCTCCTACAGAGAGCTCATTCCCTCCTTGTGTGTGAGCCTGTGGTTAACATGCTATAATGAGAGGCCCCAGCAGAGAAGGCGGCTAGACTTTGGTAATTAAGAGTATGCATTTTGGGGTCACAGAGACCAGGGTTCAAGACCAGGATCAGACCCTAACTGAATGTGTTAGAGGAAGTCACTTAACTTCTCTGAGCTTCGAGCGTTTTGCTGTTTGTGCCTTGTAGACAGTGGGTGGCAAGTGCTTAGCAATCGTGCCACCACTTCTCCCTCCTGCACCTCCGGCAGACATGACTAATGGATCACATGACTAACTGATCGCAGTCCTCTTTGCCCAGAACCAGTTTTGACCTGGCACCGCTTGAAGTCGTCATACAGGTCATCTGGGCTTCTCTGCCTAGACTCAGAGACTCCCAGGACCCAGGGAGCACTGTCTGAGCTGTGGTTCAGGACAGACTGAAGAATCCCGTGCCTACCCTCCACCCTGTTCCCACCTCCACACTGACAGGCAATTCATGTTCACCCCAGCTTTACTCCCACTTCCTGGGAAAGAGGGGGCAAGCTACTGGGGATGGGACCAAGGCAAGCTAGTCCCCAGAATTGTGTGGCTGAGACGGTGGGCAGTGGGGAAGGCTGACTGAGAGTGAGGAGACCTGCCTGTTTTCTGGGGGCCGATGATGAGGAGTTTCGGGAAGCGGTCACACGTCTTCTCCTTGGACCAGATGTCTTTGTGGCGTTTGTCCTCACAGGGGTCCTAGAATAACAGTGAAGGATTGTTGCGGGGGGCCAAAATCCAGTGAATGGACTCCCACGGTGCATTGATTTGTGGCTCTTACAGCCCTGTCAGGCTTTACTACATGTGTCCTTGTCACATCCCCTCCGTGGGACACTGGGCTGTTGGCAGGGCAGCCAGGGACCACTTAGGGTCAGTCCTAGCAAAACACTCAGCCCAGTGTTTGGCACGCAACAGGAATTCACAAGTACTTGTTGAATTTAACTGTCTGAGATGTGTCTCAACCAGGGGTCAAAACCATTTACTATAAAGTTTAGTAAATCTTTTGAAATATTTATTAAATATATTAGACTTGGAGACTATCGGTCTCTGTCCCAACTATTCAGCTCCACTGTTGTGGCTTGAAAGCAGTCACAGGCGGTACAGACAAGAATGGGCGGGGCTGGGTACCCATAAAACTCTACTTACAAAAACAGACCATGGGCCAAAGTTTGTGGACCCCTGGTCTGAACTATGAGCACAGCATTAATTCCAGCTTCCAGTTCCAGTTTTTGACAGTCCCCAAGGACAGGCTTCCCCAAGAACTGTCTCCACCACCCTCCCCTCAGTACCCTTTCCCATGGCTCAGGGCAGAAAAAACTAAGTCTAACCAGGCCAGGCAGCTGCTTTCTACACTTTGTCCACTTACTCATATCCACTTACTGCTATCTTTTCAGAGGCTATGCGTGAGTGTGCGTGCCTGTTGGGGGTGGAGTACACATATACATGCACAAGAACAAGTGAGTGTGCTCGTGTCGGTGAGCAGATGCGCACCTGAGCTTGCACGCGGGTGTGAGGGTTGGGCCCCCGAGCCCACATCTGGAGCAGGCATCTGTGCACAGCGGGCATTCCATCCCCGCGACAAGGCCTCCAGGCCCCACCTGCACCCACCTGCCAGAGCGGGTCCTTCTCCTCAGAGAAGATCTGGAAGTACTTCTGGGCCAGCTGCACAGGGGGCAGCGTCTGCAGCCGGAGGTTGGTCCAGGAGTGCAGGAAGCGCACCAGGTGCTTAAAGGTGTAGAGGCCCAGGCGGTCATTCCCGTAGTTGGACAGGTGCGTCATGAAGATGCTAATCTGCTCCAGGGCAGGGAGGCGGGAGGCAGAAGCTGGTCACCCTCTGAGCCACAGTCACCCTACTTCTGACCTTTTGGTCTTGCTTCACTTGGAGGGCCACTCAATGACCAGGTTTATCAGGCCATCAACAAACTCACTGTGTGACCTTGGGCTGGCTGCAGCCAGGTGAATGAAGGTCTGACTGGCCACCAACTATTACGGCCCTGAAATGGGAAGACAACCTACTGCAATTATCTGGGTATTCTGTTTAATGTTTTTTGGTGGGGGTAGGGGGGTGTGGTGCATGGACAATAAGGATTATTTAGTATCCAAAACAACTAAATAACACCACCACTTGATATGAATTTAGCATCTTGATATCTATATTAAAACATGAATGATTACTTCCATTTTACAGATAAGGAAAGAGAGGCCCAGAAAGCTCAGCTGAATAGTTTAAACTATAAATAGTATATACAGTTTATTCTAGTAATAGTTTACTATGTATATTAATATATATTTATACACGCACGCCAAGGCTGGAAAGAAAACATGGTCTAAAATGCTAACACTACTATATATATTGAAGTGCAAGATTGTAAAAGGGGAAAAAAAAGACAGCGCAGATTCTCCACCCAGGGCCGCGCTGCGGGGTGGGGACAAAGCCCAGGCCAGAGGGTGGGTGTCCCCATTCCCGGCCCGCACACCTGCCCCCGCGCCCCCTCTTCTCAGCCTGGGAAGGCTGCCCACAGCCCCTCCTCCATGGGGCACTCACAGGATTGAGGAGCACGGTGAGGAAGAGCTCGCCCCCGTTGATGATCTTGTCCAGCTCGCTGGAGCCGCCAGGGTACTCGTTGTAGAAGATGGTGTGGGTGAAGAGGCCGCAGGTCTGCCGCGGGAGGACCTGGGGGCGGGCCGGGGGGAGCTCTAGCACCTCCAGACATGGATGGGGGTGGGAGGACCCTTCCTCAGAGCAGCCAGGGTGTCTCCTTCTATGTGGCAGCACAGCCCTGTCCCTTGAGGGTCTTCTCCCACAAAGACCCAGTCTACGACACCATGTGACCGCTCGACTGACAGATCTACAAGGGCGGGGACTTCTGTCGGGCTTGTGCATGCCTGCATCCCCAGTGCGTAGGAAAGTGTCAGGCATACAGTCAAAGCTCATGGAAATTTGTTATGTAAGCAAACAAATGAGACTGACGCCTGTCCCAAGGCCCCACTGGAGGTCCCTTTAAACAGTGTTCGTCCCCTGTCACAACAGCTAGGGAGCTCATGACAGGGGCAGACTGGCAGCTGCCTTCCCTGGGATGGAGAGTCTCAGATGCCAGAGGGGGCAGCAGAAACTGGCCTGGAACCCCTCACCAGCTCACCAAAGCCACGCCTCCCAGGAGAGTGTGTGCACACCTGCCCCACCCCCGCAGGCAGCAGCCCACGCACCATGATGCCGTTGTGGATGAAGCCGCGGCGGTAGCGGGCCGGCTTCAGGTGGGGGTACTCCTCCGTGCTGGTCACTCGGATGCTCCACACCTGTTTCCAGGCCTCATACAGCTGCACGTGCACAGGGTACACGCCCGAGTGGTGGGGCGCCACTGCGTACCCCATGTCTGTGGGAATTCCGTGCTCCTGGGGAGAGGAGGGCCCGGGCAGGCTAAGCATGGGGGTCCAGCCCCTCTGGGCCTTACTTCCCCTTTGCAGAATGGGAGAGAAAAACCAGAGGCTAGACAGCAGGGCAGGGAGTCCAAGGCCTTGTGCTACAGATGGGCAAACAGAGGCCCAGGAGGGAGGGAGATGTGCTCAGAGTCTCCGAATGAGAAACCAGCTGAGCTGGGATTCTAACTCTCAGGGTCATGCCATCCAGTGCCCAGGAGTGAGGGAGAAGACGGGGCTGTTCCTGCCTCTCTGGGCCTCGAGCTGGCTGGCGGGCTCAAGCTCCACCGGCCCCAGGCCTCCCTCCCTCCTGGTGGAGCGCCTCCTCCAGCTTTCCAGAGCTCCCGTTCTAGCCTGAAGGGAAGAGCTTGCGCTCAGGAAGCACATGGGCCTGGGGTTAAGTCCTGGCTGGACTCTCACTAGCTGCTGTGGCCTCCCTGAGCTTTGGTTTCTTGCCTAAAAGGGAGGCTATTGACTCCCGCCTCCTGGAGTCTCTGTGACGCTCCCGCGAGACTGGCTACAAAGACGTTCATAAGAAGCTGTCGGACCGGACTGCGATAGTGGCCAGAGGCCGCCGTCGGTCCCCAGCCCAGCCCCTAGCCCGCCCAGCTCTGCCCCGTAGGGAATCTTACTCACGACAGCGAACTTCTTGTTCAGGGCCATCTGCTCAGCCAGCACAGACTGGTTGTGGAAAAGGTGGGGCTGCATGTGGCTCCACATGTGGGGGAACCACCAGAACTCCTTTACGTAGGACAGCAGCAGGTCATCCCCAGCGTCCTCAGCGTCCGTACCTGCGGCCCAAGCACAGGTAGCTCAGCCCGCCTGGCCCGCCTGCCTCGGCGTCCCCCAGCCTGGGCTGGTGCAGGAATGGGGGGGGGCATGGCTATACGGTACCCCCCCAGGCCCCCCCCCAAGAGCGTGGAACAGCTGCCTGAGCGGCAGCACAGGAGCAGACAGAGCCCAGGCCAGGGCCCTGGAGGCCAGTCTGGGGTGTCACTCTGACACCCTCTGTGACCTTGGCCAAGACCTCCTCCTCTGTGCAATGCAGGCTTCAGAGGCCATGGTCCCAAGGTTTCTTCCGCTCGGACACACCTGCTCCGATCCTCTTTCTGTTTTCCTAGTGGGCCGCTCATCTCTTTCTTATGGATTTGCAGAAGCTCTTTGCATATGCACATAATGTTTAATTCTGCCTCAGGTGCACGACTGCAACTCCCTCTGGTACGTTGCTAAGGGCTGAGAATATCAGAAATGTGGAGGGACAGCCCAGTGTCGCTCTTCTTTGGTTCTGGGGCTGTATTGCACACTCCTCCCCCAGAACTGCAGACTAATAGGGTTTTGCCTGGAATTCAAGAGAGGCCGTCCTCACTGTGGCCCAGCCAGAGGGCGGCGAGAAGAAATGCTCACTGCAGGTGACATTCAGGTGTGTTCCCTCTGGCCCAGTCCCTGAAGGGCAGTGTGCGCGGAATGTGAGGAACGCGGACGAGCCCAAGAGAGGAGAGAAGGCATGAACCAGGCCGCCCACAGCCCTCAGCCTCAACCCTGAGGACTTGAAAATAAACTCAGAACAGGGTGGGTACAAGTCTAGGACATTTTCACTTTCTATCCTATATATTTTTGTAATTTCTTGACATTCCATTACATTTTGAAGCAGAAAGAGTACAAGTCATTTTAAAAGGTGGGGATGAGGGGGTGACAAGCAGGAGAAGACGCTTCCCCAGGACAGTGCAGCCTGCAGGCCAGGGAGACCTGAGTGGGAGCTACCATCGAGCTGTTGCTGTCCCCAAAGGGCCACTGTCTGGGACTGTGGCTGTTCTGTGAGCTGCTGGTTGGGGGCTGGGGGGTGGGGAACGGGGATCAAATGTGCTCCTCACGTGGCCCATCACACCACCCGCCATGCTCTAAGGATCTGTCCAGACGTGAAGGCCCCAGGAAGTTGCTGGTGGGGACACGACCAGACCCACTTACCTGTGTGGAAGAATTTCCCTGAGTAGCCCAGGTTGAAGGTGAAGTTTGGGATGTGCGTGCGTAGTTCGTTCTGTGTATCAAACAGGGCCTAAGGCGGGCAGAGGAGAAAGAAAGGGGTGAGGGAAAAGCCAGGAGCCCCGCCCCTCCCACTGAGGGCCAGGAAGTGTCCTGTGGCTACAGGACCAGCTAAAAAGTCTGTGGGGCTCAGTGAAAAATGAAAAGGCGGGACTCTCACTCAAAGGCAAAAGCCAAGTATCACACCTTGTCCGGGCCCATCTGAGCACAGGGCCCTGAGTGGCTGCACAGGCCCCGCACCCTGAAGCCAGTCCCGTGTGGCCACCCACACCAGGCAAGACAAGTCCTAGGCTCCAGCCTGGCCCTGCTGTGTGTCCTTGAGAAGGCCTTAGTCTCCCCAAACGTGAAGTGGGGATAATATCATCTCCCTCAAGGAGCTCTTGGAAGGATTAAATAAGAGATTGCATGTTAACCCGCCTGACATTTGGTCAATGATGAAAAATGATGGTGTCGTATGTCTGCCTATGATCACTGCCACTGTAAGCCTCATGTTTTCACCTGCCATGTCTTCATCTGTCAAATGGGGAGGATTTCTCCTCATAGGTGAATGCGAGGCTGATGTCAAAGGGCCATGACCTTTCCAAAGATGTACTGGACCCAGCAGCTCCCATGCATAGCGCACCCAGTGCTTTGCAAGACAGCGAAAGGCTGCTGACATTCCTCAAACAAACGCACGGTTGTCTTCTGGGGCCAAGACTTGAAAACACCCTCGCAGGACGCAGAAGGCTGCTAAGAAACCTGCAAGAGCCTGCTATCCGAGCACTTCGCAGAGTCGCCGTCCTGGCCCTCCTGAGCCCACGGGCTGCCTGATGGACATCTATGCTCCAGCTGGGTGGCCCTGGGCAAGTTGCTTCTGCCCCCCGAGCCTCAGCGCCCTGCTCTGCAAAATGCAACGTACAACAATGCCCACCTCCTGGGGCGGCTGTGAGGATCAGATGGGGCAACGCACAGGACGGCCTGAGCCCGGAGCCTGGCCCTCGCCAAGCCCTGAATAAGCAGCTGCTGCTGGGATTATTTAAATTACACTGTACAGCCAGTACTGTACCAGTTAATGAGGCAACATTCATGACTCTGAAAGAAAGGCTCAGCTGTAGCCTGGGCTTGGGATTAAAGAAAAAATTAAAACAACTCTGTCCTTTTTGACTCACAAGGACGTTTAAGGCAAATGGGACCCTGGCCGGCGACGCACTCTGCAGTCTGCGCTGAGCTAAGCGTGCGGCGGGGGCACCTGTTAGTATTCTCTTACAGAAATGGCTCTACCCCGCGAGCACTCCTCCCACGCCAGCAATAGGGAAGGTAAGAACTAAGCCGGGTGACCCCAGGGTTCTTGGGGACACAGTGAGCCCGGAGCCTGGTTTCCTCAGGCGCGTCAACCCTGGACAGGCAGCAAAGACCTTGGTGACGGCAGGAGAGAGCAAGGCTGGGCCACCAGAACGATCCCACGTGAAATTCCAGGAGGAAACACAGTTTGTAAAGCAGATCAAGGCAACTGCCCGGTCGGTCCCAGGAGGCTGCCGCCCAGAGGGTTCAGCACCTGGCTGTCTGCAAATGCCCTGCCCCCCCCGCCCCCCTCCCCAATCCCTCATGCCTCTCCCAGCACCTCTGCGAAACCCTAGGATGTCAGAAAATAGCCTGGAAACCTCCCATCCACCCCACTTTGTCATTTTAGAGCTGAAGCTCAGAGATGGGAAGGGACAGGCCCAAGTCACCCAGGGAGAGTCAAACTGAAACTTGATTTCCGACAGTGCCTGCTCCCTGACACGGTCTGCTCTGCCCTCCTCCTCCTAGGGAGGCGTGAGGAACACTGGAGCATTAACTCCTGACCCGGGCGGGAGAATGACCCCACCCCCACCCCAGTCTTCCTTCCAGGCCCCCGGGCCAATCCCCAGCAGTGATTTCAGAAGGATGAGCCGGCACAGATCATCTGAGTCACTCAGGGTGAAAAGCATTCTTCTTGGAAGTCTCTTTTTCCAATCCTCCTCTTAACATCAAAAAGAAGGCTTGGTTTGGTGCTAATGCGTCTCTGACACTTGCTAATCTGGTGGAAGCGAGGACAGGCAGTATCTCTGCAGAATGTAATCCCCCGGCTTTGTTTTCACTGGAGCTATTGTTATGTTGCCCTCTATTTATGGCAACCGGTTCTGACTTTGCATTTACACGAGTGGGGGCCTTTCCTTTACAAATAACTTGTGCGTGAAACACTGAGTAGATAAAAACTGTGTAAGGATTGCGTAATGGTCTCAATTGGCAGCCTTCTCTTTAGTTGTGAGCCGTGTGTAAAACTTTGTGGTTTGCCAAGTGCTTGTACATAGAGCTTAGTTTCGTAAACACATTTTGAATTAAACATATGCATTCCACTATCTATACTGACCTCAGTTGACGTGTGCTTTGTGTATGATTCAAGCTCTAGTTCTTGTGTAAGAGTTTGGTGGTTCTGGTACTGACACAGACATTTTTGAGAGTTAAACATCGGCCCTGGCTGGTGTGGCAGTGGATTGAGTGTCAGCCTGTGAACTAAAAGGTCACCGGTTCAATTCCCAGTCAGGGCATATGCCTGGGTTGCAGGCCAGGTCTCCAGTTAGGGGTGTGCAAGAGGCAACCAATCAATGTGTCTCTCACACATCAATGTTCCTTTCCCTCTGTTTCTCCCTCCCTTACCCTCTCTCTAAAAATAAATAAATAAAATGTTTTTTTTTAAAAATCATGTCTGGATTAATAGGTAGGTAAACAACCCTGCCCACCTGCACCCCAGTGGCTGGGTTTCTTCCTCCACAGATATATTCTTGGGTTCCCCACTCCAGATGCAAAATTCCTCTAGAGTCAATACTTCAATATAATTTTACATGACCTCTGCTTCAAATAAGCAATTAATAAAACCCACTGGCCAAGGGCGGGGGACCAGCAGCACAGGGGAGATGCAGACAGCACAGTCCTGACGGGGCAGGGGAAGGTTGGAAGGCGAGGCGACCCCGGTATGGCGCCTGGGCCCTACCTTCACGTCCTCCACCTTCATGCGTGTGCCCTCCTTGCCCACGAAGATGTCATCGATGTCCACCAGAATATAGCGGTCCAAAGGCAGTGAGAGGCGCTTGCCGGTAAGGAAGGCCACGGCGTCCACGAAGACAAGCTTGTGCAGCCAGAAGTTGAGGTTGTTGCCGAACAGCACGCGCTGGATGCCGTCGTGGAGGCCCAGGTCCTGGACCACGGTGGCGTGCAGCGCGGCATGCAGGCCGGCGTCCGCGCCCAGGTGCGGGATGGACTCGGATGAGCGCGTCTTGGCCAGCAGTACTGGCTCGTAGGTGGAGTGGTTGGACTGGAACACGGTCCAGTCCTCGCCGGGCAGCACGCCCTTTTCCACCTCGCTGGGCCGCGTCACGTAGAGCAGCGGGGACCTGGGGTTGATGCTACAGTCCTTCAGGCCCAGGTTCGAGTGCAGGAACAGGGGGAAGCCTTTGAGCTGCGCACTCAGCAGGCTGTTCTCGTTGGCCTGCAGTCAGGGTGAGGCAAGGAGGGGAGAAGAGCCATCAGACCCAGAGTCCCAAGGGCCCATGGAGTCTCAGGTGTGTGGTAACAGGAATATCAAGTCTTCACTAACCTTCACGGAGGGCCTGCCACACCTCTGGCTCTCAAACCCAGCTTCACCTGTCACAATAGTACACTAGCTAACACACATGCCGTCCGTACCAAAGTCAGGCCCCAGGTTCAAGCGCTTTGCATGCAGGGGTGCTGGTAATCCCCAGAGACCCCCGCGAGGAAGGCATTGCTATCATTCCCATTTTACAGATGAGGAGAATGGGGCCCAGAGAGGCCACCTGCCCAAAGTCACACAGTGAGAGAGGCCCAGCAGCTGAGAGCACAGGCTTGACCACTGGGCCCAGGGAAGGTAGGTAACCTTTCTGTGCCTCGGCTCCCTCCGCTGTAAGATGCGGCTACGGACTCAGAAAATATCCCAAGGGGCCGTGGAGAAGGACGAGTGCAACGCTGGCAGAGCGCTCAGCACAGGGCCAGCGGCACCACCGACTGCTCACTCAGTCCTCACATCGGCCTCAGGAGGAAGGGGCCTTGGTTGCCCCACTTCGCAGGTGAGGACACTGAGGCTCCGAGGGGAGGGCGGCCCTCAGTCACACAGCTGTCGGGAGGAGCCAGTGTGCAGACAGGCGGTCTAGTCCTGCAGCCCACACACCTGACCACCAGGCTGCACCTCCTGGGGTTTCCAAACTGCTTCTGCACACAAACCTTTCTTCAGGAGAAATCTGACAGGAGCCAGTGTAGAGGAGATCAAAAAGGAGGTATCTGTGGGGCGCGCAGGAACAGCGTCACTCCACCCCACGGCATGTCCAGCCCCCACTTGCCCCCAGCAGCTCCAAGGCCACCCCCTCACAGGAACCCCGCCGCCCGTCCCTCCCCCCTCCTCCCGGGGCCTGCTGCTGCCCAGCTCCCGGGGGGCCTGCCGACAGTGCCCCCCGCCCCTGCTTCTCCTCTTCCCTAGGCTCCCAGCCTCCCAGCCACCTGCCTCTGGGTATGGTACAACTTGTCCTTGTCCCTGTGCCAGTTCCATTCTGTCTTCCTGGCCAACTCCTGCTCATCCTTCAAAAGCCAATGCATATACCCTCTTCTCTGCACTGGCCTCCCTGGGATCATGCTGAAGCCTTGGCTACAGCAACGTTTACCTGGGCGGCTACGTTCTCGCTCAGGGTCTCCCTCCCACCAGTCTGTACCCTCTTCAGGGCAAGGGCTGTGTCCTTCCCACCTTCGGATCCCCAGTGTCCAGCACAGACCTGACATCCACAGGGAGCGAACACCCATTTGATGAGTAACTGACTTTTTAAAAAGAGTGAAAGACGAACAGACAGCTCTCCAGTACCTGGCACGTGACAGTTGCTCAGTAGAGGTTTCATTTGTTCCCTCCACAACTGTTCACCGTGCCAGACGCTGTGTTTACTGTCAGGGATACAGTGAGAAAAACAGATTGGGTCCGTGCCCTCATGAACCTTAAAGTTGAGCAAGAAAGAAAGACAACAATCAAAACCGCAGAAATAAACATAAAATGTCACTGGGGCACATGGTACACAGAGGAGGTTCATAGTTCTAGAACAACAGATAAGTGGCCATAATCAACGGGCTCAGAAAAGACTTCCTGGACAAAGGGACTTTCCTGGAGAGTGGGACTTGAAGAATGAGTAAGCATCAACTTGGGGAGAGGCAGAGGCCAAGTTCAAAGAACAGAAGTGCTAAGGCCCAGGGGTAGGAGAGGGCTCAGCACAGTCAAGGAATAGCAAGAGGTCAACAGAGTGACCAAGAAGATGAGATAGAAAGGTCAGCTGGGACCAGATGGCAGGACCTAGAAGGCTGGAAGTGGCAGCGGGGAGCCATCAAAGACTCCATCAAAGGGATGACGGGTTCAATTTGCATTTTAAAAGACCATCTGGCCGCTGTGTGGAGAATGAGTGGGGTGGGGCAAAGCAACAGTGGACCAAGGGCGCCAAATGAGGCCAGAGAGGGAGGCAGGGTGGTGCCCAGGGCCGCCCAGAGGGCTGGCCAGGGGAGCGCTGCACAAGGGCACTCCGCGGTGCCCCGGGGCGGGGGAGCCACATCTGCCCAGAGGGGTGCCTTTTACGCTCTCCTCCACGCTGGAGGGCTCTCTTCCTGATTCCCACAAAGGCTCTGCAGGGCCCTGGCCTTGCAAACGCGATAAGGAGCCACATTTGATGTCACCACTTACCAGGAGTACCTGCCAACTCCCCACTCTGTCCCCAGCCGGCCTCAGTGCAGAGCACCCCATCCTGAGAGGCCACCTCCGCCAGCCCCAGGCTCCCCACGACCCCTAGGCCAGCGCTGGCTGAAGAGGAGAACTGCAAAGACAGCAGGGGCCAGGGACACTTCGGGCCCTGTCCATCACCTGCCGTGGCCTGGGAGGTCACGCTGGACCACGGGCACCGGGGGATCCCATTTCAAAGCCCCGACCCTAAGCTGACTGCCAGGCGCTGGCAGCTCAGCCGGCTGCCCAGCTGGGAGACACTGAAGAAGGGAAAAAGCCAAGTCACTGACAGTCCACTCCAGGCGGCAATGAAAGGAACCAGCTGGAGAAGGGAATGGAGAGCGAGGCTCGCTTTGCAGAGCGACAGCAGGCCTCGCCCCACGGGAGGGGACCCTGCCCATGTCTCAGCACTGAACACCCACTCAGGGGACGCCAAATCCTCCCTTGAGGTCACCCAGGCAGCAGAGAGAAGCCCCAACTCAGGTACTGGGAAGCCTGGCGCAGACTCAATGACCAGCTGATGACCTTAGGAGCCCCATGTGTCCCCTCCAGGCCGCGGTCAGCTTGCTCTGCCGTGCTCACGTGTGGCTGGATTAGAGGCACCGAGTGCGGTTGTCAAAGCTTGGCCCTGGCTTCCCAGCTGTGCCGCGCTAGACAGCCATGTACCTTTCTGAGCCTTACTTCCTCACCTGTAAAGAAAGTGCCGCTTCACAGGGTAGTTGTGCAAATTACGCGTGGCAAAGGCAGCAAAGCAATGAGCTCAGTGTCTGGCACACAGCGAGTGTGTGGAAAAAGAGGTCGGGCAGCCCTCGTCCATCCCAGGAACCAGGCTCCTGACAAAGACCTGCTCCCACCCTGAAGGACCCTACATGAGCTCAGGATTCAGAGCCACAAGACTAAATGCCGCCACCAGCTGTTTGCCGACACAGAGATGACAAAGCATGACAGCTGCCATTTATTTGGTGGCTCCAGGTACCATGCACTGTGTTTGCGATTGCCACCTCCTGTCTTGCTTTATCTTCACCATGGCTCAGTGAGGCAGGAGCTGTGACTGGCTCTGCTTTAGAGATGGCTTGAGTAGTACCCTGTCCAAGGTCACTCTGTTTTTAAGTAACAGAAAGATCTAAACAAGGGTCTGGACTTCTCTGCCCCTGTTCCAGCACCAGTGAGAATTGGAAAATGAGTCTCGAGATCCCCCGGGGTCCACAAACTGTCTGGGCTTGGCTAACCCAATGCACAGTGCTGAAGCTGGCCTTGCAGAAAGAGCCAAAAAATGTAGCTTGACCACCAGAGGGAGCCCAGAAGAGTAAAAAGTCACAAGCCTCTGTTTAAAACCAAGTTATCTCTATGCAATAGGGTAGGAAGAGCACGAAGACCCCAAATTGCCACGAACCCCAGAGTGAGACTGAGCATGCCCCTGCCCCCTCCAGGGCCTCGGATTCACCTGTAGAGCAAGGAACTGGGGCTAGATGGGATCCAAGTCCTTCGTTGTGCCAATTGTGCCCAATTGCCCTAGCCCATTGCCTGGTTCCCAGAGACTGGGACTCTGCACTGGACATGGCCTCTTGATGCAAATTCTACGAAATGAATGGTACCTGAGGATCCTGGACTCACTGCACAATGGTTAAGACTAAGGCCTCGAGAGCCAGATGCCTGGCTTCAAGTCCTAGGTCTGCACTCACTGGAGGTGTGAGCTTGGGCACATTTCTTCGCCCCTCTTTGCCTCTATTCCCTTCCCGCCTCAATCAAGATGATATCTACCTGGCTTGGAGAATGGTTCATGACTGTTCAGTGGGTTAATTCATGCAAAGCATGCAGGACAGGGTGCGGCTCTGCGTGAGCACTCAATAAACGTCAGCAATCCTGATGCTTTTCAGGCCTGGGGCTCTGGCTCAGTCTTAATGAAGTTGGTGGCAGGAAAGAGAGCAGAATCCAGGAGAAAAGAAGAAACAGACAATGAAGACAGCCTGACGTTATGTCACCATAAAGCCGTAAACCAGGTCAGTGTTTCCCAGACGGTGCTCTGCGAGGCGAAGGGCTTTGTGATCAAGCCAGCCGGGAAACAAACCTCACCAGGTTGCTCTGCTGCAGGACTTCTAAGCGCCTGCAATTACGTGGCCCACAAAACCTTCGTTAGTGACAGAGCACCCTGCTACACTAAGGCATGAAAGCACACGCTGTGGGAAACCCGCCACTGCCACAGGCTCCTCCCAGCACAGGGCCCGTGCACAGGGGTGACCACGAATGCCTGGGGGCAAACGGTCATCCGACGGTGAACACAGGCCACTTCGGATCCACCTCCTGCTCCCCTCCCCGCTCATGTTAAGCAAGAACCTGCCTCAGGACCCACACACTCACCTTTCCCTCCGTGCGTAGGAAGGCCCCTGGCACAGAAAGCCAGGCAACTCCTCCCCTCACTTCCTTCCGGCCACTTTATCAAGGACGACTCCCCTGGTCATTCTATCAGAAATAGTCTCACCTGCCACACCCATCACCCCCTACGCCCTTGCCCTCATTTATTCCTTTTTGAAGTGATCGCCACCTGCCACTGGTACGTTTATTCGTTCATTGTTTGTCACCTACCCCACCCCATGGCACTGAAATGTCCACTCCATGACAGCAGGGACTTGGCTCATTTTGATCACTACGCTGTCCCCAGTACCTAGCACAGGCCCTGGAACATATTAAGTACTCAGTAAATATTTGCCGAATTGAGGAATGAACGCTCCCAAGCACCCAGCTAGCGTCCCAACCAGTGCTTGCTTTCATCTGATAGGTCGGAGTTCTCTGGCCAGAGCCTCTGGATGCCCCATCCAGCTGTCCCCAACCTCCCCCTCTCCAAGGACAACTTCTCTGCAACACTTTGTCAGCAAGGACTCTGATCCCAGCAGTCATTCTGGGGGCCCCACAGAGCCCAGGGCAGCTCACCTGCCCACTGGGATTTCTTTCTCCCCTTGCTCCCAATGCAAAATGGCTGTGATTCAGGAGCTGCATATATTCCACACTCCACCACAGCCAAGAGGAAAGATCCTGTGCTCCAGAGCCCAAGCCCTCTAAGTCTGGGTTCAAATCCTGGCTCTCCCACTTACAGGCTGCACAGATACGTATCCATAACTTCACCCTCCTAAGCCTCGGTTTAGGTGTCTACAAAATGGGAACGACGTGCCCTGTCCTGTAGGAGGGCTGCCATGACAGGTTTTGAGGGCCCAGCCGAGCACATCCTCCCCTCCCTCGCAACCCATCCCTGGGGCCTCCTTCAGGCATGTGCCTGCTATATGCTGAGTCTCATGCATGGCAAGCAATGCCCCTGCCTTGTGCTCCTAATAAAAGCTAATCCTTCGAAGACACTCACAGGGCACCAGCACAGTGTGCCGCAAATGCTTCACGTGCACTCGCCCATTCAACCTTCACAAAAACCCTGGGAGGTAGGTGCTACCTCTACACCCATCTCACAGATAAGAGAAGTCAGGCACTCAGCTAATGAGTGTGGAGACGGGACTCAAACTCAGCTGGAGCTCTGAAGCACAGGCACTGTGCTCCCTGCGTACCTTGAAGAAGCCGATGATGCCCACGCCGTAGGCCACACAGTACTTGTCCAGCAGCTCCCGGTTCCAGGCGTCCAGGTTGACGTACTTGAGGATGTTCTCGTAGATGATGAGGGCGAAGCGGCCACGGCCCTTGTCCGTGAGCGTGGGCATATCCCCCTTGCCCGGTGCAATCTCTGTGCGGTACTTAAAGCGGCTCGACTCCAGGATGGCCACGACCTCCTGGCCCAGCTGGGAGTAGAGGCTCTCCACGAACACCAGCACCAGTGGGTCCGTGCGGGAAGGGGCGGCCGCCTGCACGGGCTTGAGCGGGAGCAGGCGGCTGGGGGCCATGGGCGGCGGGTCCCCGCAGTCAAGCTCGGGGGCGTCAGCCGAGGGCTCCAGGCCCCGCTTCCAGCCATATAGGTAGTAGGCGGAGACAAAAACGCTGAACACGCAGAAGACAAACAGCAGGAAAAGGACAGCCTGTGGGGACACGTGCCGACACAGCCTGCGGAAGCGCGTCAGGGTGGGCATCCTGGTCCTCGAGACCTCGGCCCCCGGAGGCCCGGCCTGCCCTGGCCACCCCACGGCCTCACGCAGGAGATACTGGAGTCGTCCGCTGACCAACAGATTCACAGACACTTATCAAGCGAGGCCCTCAGTGGGCAGCAGGAGGGGAGGGTCAGGCCGCCGGCCCTTCCTCCCAGCCGGGGGCGCAGTCCGCAGGCTGGTTGTGCTCCTTCCTTCCTCCGCGCCCCTTTATGTCACCATGGCAAACCCCCACGTGGTCCTGTGCACAGCAGAAGTGCCCCAGGGCGTCAGGGCCTCCTGGGGGGGCCAGGCAGCTGGCGGGAGGACACTGGCCAGGCCCGGGGGTGCCACATGCTGCTGGCTTGGCGGGGCCCCCGAGGCCAAGGCTGTGGAGAGAAGAGTGAGAAGGTGAAGAGCGGCAGCGTGGGCTGTGGGGGTCCACTGACGGCGGAGGCACAGGACCTGACCTAGGCGGGCCCAAGTTCAAGTGCTGCTGCCCAACATGGGCAAGCTCCTTAATCTCTCTGAGCATCAGTTTGCCCACTGGCAAAACGGGGCTGGCATTACTACCCACCTCACAAGACAGGCTGGGGGATTAAATCCCATAATGCATATAAATCACTTACAGCAGCATCTGGTGCCTATATGGCAGTTGTTTTTTACTGCAATTATCGGAGTCCAAGACTAGACCAAGAAAACTCCAGAAGCAGAAAGAAGTGAGACAATAAATATTTCCCAGACCTGGGAGCTGGAGGTGGAATTCTCAATCATACTCGAACATTCCCCTCAATTATCCACAGTGTTTCCTTCCCATTTCTCTCTCTGAATGGCCCCAGCAGCCCCATCTACCAGGTGGAAAGACTGAGGCTCAGGCAGGGCAGCTAGGCCAGAGCTGTGAGGCACCAGCGGCTTAGCCGTGCTAGAAGGCCCCTCTCAGCATCCGCGCCCTCCTCTGCAGAATCACCGCCCCCGCAGCGCAGGCCTGGGGCCGAGGGAGAACCCAGTGAATCAGTCAGAGGAGCTTGGCACCAGCAACACTTAAGAAACGGCAGCTGTTGCTATTTGCCCCAACGCAGCAGGCATCTCTCGTCCTTAGAGCACATGCCCACTGGTACACCTACCAGGATCCCGACGGACCAACAGGCAGGGAGGCATCTCCGTTCCTGGGCCTCTGTCTACCCAGGCAGCCAGAACTCTGGGCTCTGGGCTCCCGCCCAGCTGACCCCAGACAGGCATGCCACCTGCGCTGGTTTCCCTGGAGAGTTCTTGAAGACCACACACGCACACCCACCACACTAAGGCCCCCATTCCATGACGCCAAATAGCACCCCCCACCACAGCCCCCTAGCCTCCCTTCGACGTGAGTGGAAGCAGCCGCGGAAAGCCAGCAGGACAGCTCCCCCAGGCGGTGGGGATGGGGACAGGGACAGAAGGTGCGAGGGCCTGGGTGGGTGCAGCCAGGGAGGGAATGCAAACCTCTGACACAGACTCGTGAAAATCTTCCAAGTCCCTCCCAGCTCCAAGGCTATCCGGGGTGTCCAGCATGGGTACAGCCTACCAGAGACCCTGAACTTGACGGCATTTATCCTAGAGGTGGTAACTGCAGAAACATATAGAGATTTCCCCACAAAAATGCAGACCCTGGTGCTATTTATCAAGGTAACAGCAAAGGATGGCGTTTCAACAGCAAATGCCCAAGAACAGGGGACTGCCTTTGGCAATTATAACGCAAGCAGGGGACTGCATGCCAGGCAGCTATTCACAGCATGTCAAAGAAGATGTTTACTGACACAGAAAGATAATTGCCAGGTAGACTGTTCAAGTGTAAAACCTGTATAAAACAGTATGCATTGTCATATTTTGGGTAAAATTTTTTATGCATAGGCCAGAAACTGGTACTAAATACCCAAAAAAGTTAACAATGATTATCTCTGATGCAGTTTTTATTTTCCTCTTTTTGTTTGTTTCCTAAATTTTTTACAATAGTATTTTTTTTTTTTTTGCGAAAATAAGAAAATAAGTGTTTTTAAAAGATGTGCTCAGAAGCAAGGGGCAGGGTTGTGAAATGAGGACACATCTTAGCCACCAAGCCTGCTCCCAGTTCTGCCTTAACATGCTGTGTGACCCCAAGCACACCCTGCCCCTCTCTGGGCCTCCTGCTGATTAGAGAGGGGCTTGGGCCGGATAACCTTTGGGGACCCTTTCACCTCTGAGTCTACAATTCAGTCTCTACTATGTGCCAGCACCGTGGGGAACCCAAGGCCACCAAAAACACAGGCACCTACAGTGTATGGGGAGGAGTGGGGCAGTGGGGGATGAAGGGTGTCTGAAAGACCTGAGGGCACCTAATGTCCCTGGAGGGGGAAGGACCAAGGAAGGCTTCCTGGAGGAAGTGGTAAGTGAACTAACCAGAGAAAAACAAGTAACTGTTGACCCTGAGTGGGAAGGGGGAGGGGCACATACCACAGCGTGGAGCTGAAGGAGTGCGTGGAGCTTTCCGGGGCCTCCGAAGTCCCAGCTGAGAGCAGGCAGAAAGGGGCAAGTTTCCTGGGTGAGGCGGGGGGGGGGGGCGGGCAGAGGCGGGCTGACTGGCCCTGTTTATACCCAGGGTGCACCTGCGTCCTCTATCCCACTGATAAGGGCAGCCCTCTGCCCTGCGGTCACAGTGAGCCCCGCCCCTTGGCCCGGGGCCAGGAAAGCAGTGCAGCGGGTGGAGCACAGGAGGCAGAGCTGCCCCACTGGTGCCCTGCTTGTCACTGAGGCGCGGGACCACCCAACCCCACTTTCCTTGCAGGCCCGGGCGCTTGGTCACTGGCCCTCAGTCTACTGCATCAACGGCCTTTCTGCATGGGTGCTAATGATCATCCAGCAACATCTCAGCATCTGGGGGACACAGACCCTTGTGGGAATCAGACATTTTCCCACCAAAAAATATGCACACGCCCTAGAAAAGGCTGCAATGATTTCGAGAAGTCCAGACCCCATGACCCCAGACCCATCCGTGGGACCTAAAACCCTAGGCCAACAGAGCCTAATGGTTATGGGGGCCAGGAGGCCTCGTTCAAACCCCAGCCCCACCACCCAGTCGCTGTGCAATCCTGGGCAAGTAATTTAACTTTTCAGCCACCCCCCATTTCCTGATGTGTAAAATATAGGAAAACGTGACATACTCCCCAAAGCCGTGGAGATTAAATGAGCTGATCCATACACATGGCTTGGAACCACGCCTGATGCGCAGCGCGAAGGGCCAGCCGCTGTTCCTGGGCGCCCCGTTTAAAGTGCTCATCACGTGGCACTGACGGAGCCCACGGAGCACCGGGGAGCTCTGTGCGTGCTCTCTCTGAATCCCCATTTTCAGAGGTTGTGACCTTTCCCAGGCACTGGGCGGGGGGGCAGGGAGGGGCCAGATGGTTAGAGGTCAGGAGGCTAGAGAGAAGGCCATGGTGCAGCCCAGGCCCAGGCTCAAGCGAGGATAAAGGGCACAAGAGAGTGGGCCCACCAGCCCACCCCCTGGAGTAGGGGTGAGGGGGAGCCAGTAGCTACGTAAACAGGGTGCTGGCCGCCAGCGTGCTGGCAGCTGGAGCACCCCCCCCCCCCCCCCGCTACAGTCCCCTCAAAGGCCGTTCGAGGCCCTCCACACAGCCTGCATTCCAGAGCCCTGACTCCAGGGATGGGGAGCTGTCGGGTTTCTAATTCCCCAGGAGCCACCAGGGCCTCAAGGGCAGCTGGGGGGCGAGGCCTCAACAATCCCCCATGCTCTGGGCCTTGCCAATATCACCAGTCAGACTCTAGCCTCTCCCAACCAGTCACCAATCTTGGTCGTGAATCTGGGCTTTTCTAATGAAGTTCCCATTGCCTGACATCTCTCCCCCTACCCCTTGGGACACTTACTCATCCTTCAAGACCCCAGTGCCAATGTCATCATCTCCTCTCTGAAGTCATCCCCATGCACCAGGCCCGTTCCTGTCCCAGATGGTCCCCTTCCTCAGGCTCCGGCCCATCCCCACTCCACAGCCAGAGGCTGGAAGCTTGGCCCCTCAGGCCAAACCAGGGTGCAGGTGTGTGTCCTTTGACTCACACAATATTTTTTTTTAATTTACAATCAGGAGAGTTCACATGAAAGTCAGAACTTCTAAGCTGTCTTTAAAAAGAGCACATTCTGCCCTGGCTACAGGAGCATCATACCTAATAACAAAGTTGCAGGTTCGAATCCCAGTCAGGGCACACACAAGACTCAACCAATGAATGCATAAATAAGGGGAACATCAAATCAATGTCTCTCTCTCATTCTCCCTTCCTCTCTCTCTGATCAGTAAGTAAAGATTTTTTTTTTAAACCAGCACATTCTGGTGACATGGGGCACACATCCCTACTGGCCACCGTCAGCTGAGGCACCAACACACCCGCCTCAGACTGGCTGGCCACGCACTCGCCAGTCAACAGTGTCCCGCAGTCAACCTCCCTCCCTCATCCAGCTTCCTGGCCAGTCCCTCGGCGCACCTGGGCATGTGGTCCATACAGAGTAGACGTGGGGTGTTTCTACGCACAGCCCTGAACTCTGTAGGCTGCAGGTCCCAGGGCTGAACCAGGACTTCCTGACCACTGCATGGTAGGCCCTGCCTGGCAGGCAGCACACAGAGGTCCTCCTCAAATGCTAATTTCCTTTCTTCCCTTTTCCCACCTGCCTGGGTGTCCTATAGGACAGGGACATGCTCCCACGACTTTCCCCAGGGATCAGTCCTTATTGAGTGCTCAGGATATGAATAAATGAGCAGCTGTTATTGTTCCCAATTTACAGATAAGAAGACTGAGGCTTCAAGGTGAAGTGAATTGTCACAGTCACATAGGAAACTGCTAAATCTTGACTCAAAATCTTGTCATTCCTCCCTGAAACTCAAAGGTTTGTTTTTTTTAAAAAAAAAAAACAAACAAACAATACCATTATAATTATTGTCATTGTTATTTTTCCTGCTACCATGTACTGGGCATTTACCATGAGCCTGGCCATGTGCTAACCACCTTTACACACCTCATCTCATTTAATCCTGACAACTAATACTGATATTTTCACATTTGCGATTGAGAAAAATGAGGCTTAGGGAGATTAAGTCACTTGCCCCAAATCACACAGCTCTTCGGTGGCAGGGTTGCAATTTGAATCCAGACCCCATGGGGGGTGGGGGTCCAGATCCTGCAGGGGAACCTTGGCCAGGATGGGGGACAGCAAGAGGGGGCCTCAGCCACAGAGGCCTCCAACCCTCAGCCAGGCTCCCACTGTGCTCTCCCAGTCCTAGGTCCAGCTTTCCCTGCCAAGGTGCTGGGGATAATGAATGAGATGCTCTGGTTGTCATGGAGACGCCATGGCAACACCGCACTTTCGGGAAATACCACAGTAACTGTGGCCGCTGCTCAGGAGTTGAAAGTCACTCCCTACCCCACCCTCCACTAAGAAATGCTCTGATTCCCCTATAATCCTTTCTAGGGCCCAGAGTGGAGGCAGAAGGAGATGGGCCTCCCAGGGACCAAGCTGTCTAGAGATCAGGACTGGGGAGGGGGTCCAGCTCTGCCCTGGATGGATGGGTGGACTCTGAAGTGCAACCAAGAGCTCCCTGAGACTGAGCTCCTTGTGCCTCTCATGGTGAAGGGCACCTAACACGTAACGTGAGCGCACTCAGTGCCTACTGTGTGCAGCGGGCCTCCTACAGAGGGCCGTATGCCTCATGCCATTTCACCCCACCAGTCTGACAGGTGGCAGCGTGGTGGCCGCCAGCGTGGCAGTCAAGGGCTCAGACTGGAGCCAGCCTGCCCGGGCTGGAGTCCGGCCTCCGTTATTTACTAGCTGTGTGACCTTTCAGCAAATCTCTCAACCTCTTTGAGCCTCAGTTTCCCCAAGTGTAAAATGGAGTTTATACCACTTATCTATATGCTGCCAAGACTAAGAGAGATGATGTGGATAGAACAGCTCAGCGCCTGGCACATGGTGTCATAGGTTAATAAACGTACTACCCTTTTAACAGATTTGGAAACGGGGACTCAGGAAGGAACTGGCCCGAGGCCACATATCAAATTAAGAGTGGGCCCAGGAAGAGAAGAAGGGAGGTCAGGTCCGGGAGCACCCTGCGAGTTAGGGACAAGCCGGTGATGGCTCCCTGTTCCCTCCCTCTGTGATTGCTGAGCCCAGCTAGGGACAAGCGTGGCCCCAGGCAGTGGAGACGCAGGCCCTGGGCCCCGCGGTCTCATGGTCTCAGGTCTCTGGCGCGGTGCTGCTGCAGGGCGATGACAGTCCCCGCAGCCTGCAGGCTCACCCAGCCCAGGTTCCACGTCTCGCCTGGGTTACTCCTGACTATGTCCCCGGCCTCTCCCGCACTCACACGCACACGAATGCACAGACAAATTCATATGGCGCTTCCATGGTCACACAGTGCCTCGCAGGCATCTGGGCCACAGGCACAAGAACGGGGCTGGGGAGCGGAGAGGAGGTGCGGGAGGAGCCTTGGAAGCAGGCTTGCAAGTATGTGAATGGGCCCTGGGCTCGGGGGAGGAGAGGTGGCTGCAGGCCAGGCTCTGACAGCCCCACATGCAATCCCAGGGACACTCCCCACAGCTGACCCCGGGCGCTTTCTGCCTGTCACACCCCCAACACGGTCACCTCACCACCCACTGCCCAGCCGCACCCCACAGCCACCCAGCTCCACCGGCCGCCCTGCCCCACCCACCATGCACAGCGCAGGCAAGAAAATCCTCCACATTTGCTTCCCAGCTGTGCCGGAGTTTCTCCAGCTCAATCACACCCCTGGGAGGCCCAGGCCAGAAGCAAATCCCTGCTCTGCAGGAATTCGCAGCGTCCCCCATCCCCCACAGCCCTGCAGTGCTGCCGGGCCCGGGGCCAAGCTGCTGCCCGTCAGTCATCCTGGAGTCCAGGGCCACCACCGAGGGACTGCTGGCGGTCTGGCTCAGAGTCTGGGGCCAAAGAGCGTGCAGTCCGCCCTGCAGTGACACCCGGGGACACTGAGGCCCAGAGAGAGAAAACGATCCCCTGCGGCTGTGCTGGCCAGGCTGCCACCCCCCCACTCCACCCACCGCGGCCCATTTACTTGTCCAACAAAACCCTGCCCATCCCCCGTAAGCCCAGCCGTCGTTGCAGGTTGGACTCCACCAGCTGCGGATTTCCAAAGTCCTCGACGGGCTCTCCTGCTCTGCATCCCACCATGCAATGCCAGACTTGTGCTGCTGGATGTCAAGCTGCCCTCGAGGCTAGAACACTGGTCGCCCAACTTCACAGGAAGCTTTCCAAGGCGGACGTGGTCTCCTACCCATGGTAGGCGCCCAGCAGTCTCGTGCCCTTGCCAGTTACCTTCCCTTTTTGAATCTGCTGTGAGGCCTCTCCAAGCTGAATGCACTGATAGTATGAGCTTCCATTTATTAGGCAGGACATGGCCTGTACGGCGTGCTATTGTTTAACCCTACGACAGCACCATCGCCTTCTTTGCACTCATTTCACAGATGAGGAAACGGAGGCCCAGAGGGGACCCACGAGTTGCCCCAGCGCACAGAGCCGCTGAGCAGGCAAGGCAGAGGGGAATCTCAGCACAGAATCGTCATCCTTCAAAACCATGGGTCCCCTGAGCTCCCCCAGGACCTCCCACCCTCCACTCCCTTTGAATGGTGCTTTTTCTGCTCTTGTTTTCACCCATTTTATGTATGTTTTAACTTACAGGCAACGTTAAACAAGCCTTCTTGGAAGCAGACCCACAAATCACCTGTCAATCTGCAAGCAAACAAAGCCTAAAGCCCTGGTTCACTCCCAGGTTCTCAGCCGGGATTTGTTGTGGGTTCCCTGGCAGGGAATGCCCAGCAAGAAACCTCAAGAACTTAGACCTGCTGGCTGAGAATTTGTCTTTTTTCCAACAGGGCCTGAGTTGAGCGTTTACCTTTGCACCAGCTCTGAAGAAAGGGCTTACGGAGCAAACAAACAAGACAGTTTGTGGGAGGGGCTGGAGTGGAGAACAGGCAGGTCAGGACCTGCTGCCGTCCTGTCCCAAGGACAGGCTCCCCTCTGGGCCCCCTGAAGCTCCCAACGCTGACCAAGGTGGGCAGGCCCATGACAGGGCATGCTCCTCACTAGCCCGTTCAGCTTCCCAGACTAGGGCTCCCTCCTCCCAACCCCCAAATCCACTTACGACACACTCAAATCCACCCCTAACTATTTTTTCTTAGGCTCAGATCATAGGCACTCAAGAAGACGAGAACGCTATTTCTTTGTAAATTTCCTAATCTCCCTGGCTGCCAGCAGCCAGCAGGGACTGAGTTGCTGGTAACTCACCAGCCCCACACCGGCTGTGCTGAGAGCTTTCCCTGAATTATCACACCCAGTCCTCCTACCCTGAGAGGTGGCATCACTGAGCTGTGCACCTTACAGATGAGGGAACTTAGGCTCAGAGAGGGTAAGCAACTGACTCAAGGCCACACAGCTGGGCAGAGGTAGAGCTAGGACGGCCCCAAGCCAGCCCACTTAGAGCCCCTGCTTGTAAGCCCTATACAGTCCTGCTGCCCAGCATTCCACACCATTTTTGAGTCGGGTCTTCGGCCCAAAGCCAACCCAGAGAGAGGCTTTCTGCAGGTGACCAGCCCTGCTGCCTAAGCGTAGACTCGCCCAGGAGAATCTGCAACGGTAAAGCCTTCCCTGGCAGAAGGGGCACCACAGGTCCCCAGAGAGGCAAGACCTCAGCCAGAGGGTCCTTACCTTCTCCTGCCCTGGGGGCTTCTGTCATCACAGGGAGACAAAGACCCACATGAGAAAGGGGGGCTGCCTCCATGCCCTGGGCAGGGGCCCCCTGCTACGGAAGAGGAGGGAGAAGCAGGAGTGATGGTCAGAAGCGTGGGATCTCAGCTAACCACAATGAGAAGGACAACGGTGGCTGTCATGTCTCCGGGGTCTGCTGCATGCCAGTGCTCTAGCAAGCACGTCCCACTCGTGACCTCATGTATCCATCACGTATTCCCAATGAAGTAGAAACAAGCTGATCATGCCCCAAACTCCTCCCTGTCTGTCACCCCAAAGAGGAGCAGGGAAATGCTAGTCAAGCCCAACCCCTGCCCTCCCACCTGCCCACCTCAGGTTGCCAGATGCCCCGAGAGATTCCAAGAAGCAGGCGTGTTTGGGGACCCCCGTCTCGTGGGTGCAGAAGCCAAAATCCACGTGGGCTTGAAGTCTACATCAGCACTCCAGTGCCTTCAACTCGCCCTCTGTGTGCCTCCGGACTGGACCCTCGCCTTCTCTGAGCCTGTTCTTCAACTGGACGATGAGGGGAGTGAACTAGACCAGAACGTGATGACCTCCTGGGTCACAGAACCCTTCGAGAATATAATGATGGCTCTTACTGGACTCTCCCTAGACAGATGCCAGATCCATACGAATTCGGGGCGGCTGTGACTGGCCCCCAAGTAAAGAACATGGAAACCCTCTAGGGGCCCTGCCGGCTTTGATGAGCCATGGCTCTCAAGGTCTAGACAGCGCTGAAGCCACAAATGTGACATCTGAGCACCCGGGAACCTCCCCACTCCAGCTCCACCCAGGGCCCTGCGGTAAATCTTTAACTCTCAGACCTGTTGGCTTCGGGTGGATTTGTGGACTCGCCAAGCTGTCAGGAGAAGTCGCAAGAGAAAGTGATCCCTTCCTTCCTTCCCATCCCTGAGCTGCCACCCTCTTCTCCTCTGCAAGGAAGCTGCCAGCTCAGCCTTGGAGCGGCCGCAGGGCCAGCCTGCCCCAACCTCGGTACCCCGGGCCTCTCCTGTGTGGGTATGAACATGCACACAGGAGAGGTACATGTACGCCCAGGCAGACCTGGGAGCCTTGGACAGGAAGCAGGGGCACTAGGGGCTATGGTCAGAGGGCCAGGAGGCCAGGGAGAGAATGACAAGACCCACCCGAGCTCCAGGCAGCAGCCGCTCAGCTCCGTTTCACTTCTCCATGTCCTCTCAATGGCTCCACACTCCTCACTTAACACGGCAGCACCTAATCCCAGAGCCAGGACAAATGGCATTAACAGTCGTCCCAGTCTCCTCCCCAGGAGGGAGGGAGGGAGGGACGGAGGGACGGAGGGAGGTGGCCCTAGGGCACCCTGCGCCACCAACCATTTTCCCAGAAACTTCCAGCCCTCCACCCCCCACCATGTCCCTTGTCAGAAGCCAAGGTTCTGAGGGTCAGAGCTCCTACCTCTTGAACCTCAGCCCGATTCAGCCCCCAGCCCAGGAATCCCCGCAACAGGCAGGGACCCCTGCCTGGCAGTGCCTTCCAGAGAAGAGAAAGTGTGTGCCTGACTCTATGCTGATGAGTCCTGTGGTCCCTCTCAAAACAGGTGGTGCCCTGACCAGTGTGGCTCAGTGGGTTGGGCGTCATTCCACAAAGCAAAAGGCCACTGGTTTGATTCCCGGTCAGAGCACACGCCTGGGTTGCAGGTTTGGTCCCCGATCGGGGTGCGTACAAGAGGCAAACAATTGACGCCCCTCTCTCACATCGATGCTTCTCTTCCTCTTTCTGCCTCCCTTCTGCTCTCTCTAAAAATGAGTAAATAAAATCTTAAAAAAGCAAGCAAGCACCTGGGGGCGGAGGAACCCACGCCGGCAGGAAGCGCCACTGACTGCGGCTCTGCCTGACCTCCCGTGTGGTCTTCAGCAAGGCTCCCCCATCCCGCTCCAGGTCTCAGTTTCCCCACCGGTCCTGCAAAGCGGAGGAAGAAAGACTGCTGTCCCCCGGTGGGGCCAGCCGGTGATCAAAGCGTCCGTGACGTTGGCTTTTGGCCCTTGCTGCACCCCGGCTGACCCGCGGGCTCTTCCCACTGCCCTGCCCTGCCGAGGAGGAAGAAGGGTGACTGCCAGCGTGGAGGGGGCCAAACCCATGCCAGAGCGTCAGGTGCTAGAGCCGAAAAGGGCCTTACAGAGCCCAGAGGGCAGAGGCAACCTGGCCACGGTCACACAGGCAGCTGGGAAAGAGCCAGGCTGGCCCGGATTTACTTCTCGGCAGCAAGCAAGCATGTAAGAGGCACCGCCTGCAAGGTTTCTGTCTTTTTAGAGGACACCCAGGAGAGCACAAGGCAACTTGCTAATGACAGAATTTCAGGCCCCAGGAGCAGCCATGGGGATAAAAAACATGGCGTGCTCGGACGCGTGGGGCCTGGGGAGGGAGGCTGGGCGGGCTGTCCAAGGATCCCCGCTGTCACACCCTGAGGGTGGCCTAGGAGGCCGCCAGCCCCAGGGGAATCGAGGCACCCCTGCAGGAATCAGCAGTCTTGGCCGCCTCTTCCCACGTCACCTGGGACCCAGCCAGCAGGCCTGGCGGTGGCGATGGGGGGAACGGCCCAGGAGGCTACACGGGGACCAGTCTGCCTAGAAGACATGAGAGCCTTGGGGATCTGAAAGGCTCCAGGCCCCGTGGCCAGAACGGAGGGAAGCCAGGGACGCTGGGGGGCGACGAGGAGGGAGGGAAGGCTTTGAGGCACTTGAAGCTGCAGAAGCCCCCTAATCTTCTGCAGTCCTGGTGGGCATAACATGGAGCTTGCTGAGACTCAAGGCCCACATGAAAGTGGACTTGTCCCTCCAGACTTGCTGGGGCTCGTCACCAAGACAAGAGCCCGCTGCCACCACACCTCGGGGGTGAGGGGTTCAACACACAGAGAGGCGCCGCTGGCAGGAGAGCAGGGAGTAAAAGCGGGGGCTGGAGGGCCTGGCCCTCTCTCGAGCACAGAGAGCCAGTGAGTGAGCGGAGACAGCAAAAGGCGCCGGGTGACCTACATATCACAGGCTCCTTTTAATGGGACCCAGGGGGCCTCAGTGAGACTCTAGAAGGTGCCTCACAGATGTCCCCACACTCCCAAGGCTCAGGAAACGGTTCACAGGGTCAGGAGAGCAGAATTCTAGTCGCAGGCCTCTAGGGCAGGGCCAGGGAGGCAGCAGGCACGGACCTCGTGGGGGCACTGCCAGGCCTCAGCGCCACCTCATCACGGCACCTAAGAGTAAACACCCCTTCAAGTTAGCTTTAGGGGCCCCGCTTGCCTCCGCTGGTCCCAGCCTCGCCTGGGACCTCCGTGACTCCTTTGTGGGCCTTCTTTGCTCTCCTGTAAAATGGAATGACGGCAGGTGGCTCCAAAGGCCCTCCTAACTCTAAGCGGGGCGACCCCCACAGCTCATCCACAATGACCGCCACTCGCCACCATCCGTGAATCTGCAAGTCACCACACTCCAGATGGAAAACACATCACACAGCCACAACCGAGGACCGAGGACCGGGCCTTTGCTAACTGCTTGGCTGCACTTCGGCAGGGCCTCATCTTGTGGAAACAAATGTGGAAACTGAGGCTCCTGGCAACTTGCTCCAGCTCCCAGTTACAAAGTGCTCAGCTGAGATTGAGCCCGGCGTCTGGCTGTAACCCCTGCCTTCCGTGGCCTCAGCGGCAGGTTGCCCAAACCCACTAGGGCCTGGTGGGTGCCACCGGGTCTTTGCACCTCCCACGCTGAGCGCGAAATGCCGAGACTAATGTGAAAGGCAGGCTGGTGGAGGCCGGGAGCAGGCGGGGACGGGACGCCCGCATGGGCGCTGGGCATTTGCAGGCTGACCAGCCTCCAGCCAAGCCAGCTGTCCATCGTTGTGGCTACAATGTCCACATCACCACCAGCACACCACAGCCACCGCTGTGCCATTTTTAAATCATTACACAGATGCAAAGCTGTTTCACAGACATTGCTTTGGCGTCACATGACAACCTTATAGAAACAGAGCAGGGATTTCTTTCTCAAATGAGGAAAGTGCCACTCCCGGCGGAGGAGTGACTTCCCAAAAGGCACACAGCGAGGCAGAGCTTGAGAACGAATTTGGAGCCTGCCTCTCCTGCCTCCCGGTTCAGGGCTGTGTCTCCCCTCCGTGCCCTTGACTTTTCAGTGTAACCAGCATTCATGGCCCTTATAAAGCAACAATGACCATTGCTGAGTTCACCCAGTGCAGGTATTCTACCCAGCACTTCTGACAGTATCTCATTTAACCATCACAACATCCTCATAAATTAAGTACTGCTACTGTTTTCATTTCACAGATGAAAATGAAATATGGAGCATCTGTCCCCAGGTCGCCGAGCGAGGAAGGGGCAGAGCTGGGATTTGAACTGAGGTCAGTCTGGCTCTGGGGCCTGCGCTCAGAACCTCAGTGCTGCACTGCTCTGTCTGGGACCAGAGGGGCCAGGAGACCAGATGCACTCAGTGTGTGTGTCTGGCAGGTTATAGCAAGATTATGATAATAGAAGGACAAACAAAGCTCTTGGAGAGCCCACAAGACTGAGGTTGTTACAAACATCTGGGCAGGAGGCCAGGAGTCTGAGCAAGGGACATGGGAACAGGGGGAGGTGACAGGTGGGAGGTGGCCTTGTGAGACCCTGGTCAAGTGCCTTTGCTCTCTCTCAATTTACCCAGCTGTTGAGAAACATCCTTGGAATATCTTCAGAGCCCCCGCCATGATAAAAACCCTTGGACCCTGGGAAAACAAGCACTGCTCGGTAACAGCCTGGCTGCGAGCCCTGGGGGACTCTGAAATGTCCTTGGATGTCCTGGCATGGCTCGACTGCTGGGAAACAGGCTTGCAAAAGCGCGGGGCGGGCCAGCATGCCTGGGCACCGCTGAAGTGTGGGTCCTGAGGGGGCTGCATTCCGCTGCTGTCAACCTCTCCACGGCTCCACCGCAGCGAGAACCACCCAGCCTGGACCCGCGTCGGGAACCGAGGTCACGTCCAAGAGGCCAGTGGAATGCTGCTCCAGGCCCACCCTGCCCCCGGCCCGGAGCTCTGCATGCAACTCAAGTGCACTTACTGTCAACCCCCCCTCGCTCACATTCCCTAAGGGCCAGCTCCTGGGATGTAGAGACAAGGGGTCCTGGAGGAGACCTTAGGGTAAATGACCACCCCCCGTCCCAAGGGACCCGTGCAAGACAGGGGCTGCCCACACCAAGTCAGCGAAGACCCTTGGGCTGGGGAGGGTCCAACCCTCAGTTCTCACTCTGGCAGGTGGAGGGGGCTCAGCCCAAGCCTCCACACTTACAGTCGCCCCCTCGAACCACGTGTATAACACGCTCCTACTCAATAGCCTTCCACGGCTCCCACCAGCCACCAGGCAAAACCTTCTCAACCTGGCTGACTACACAGGTCACTGTTACCAACCATCTAACCGTCTGCTAAGTGGGCGCGGAACATGCCAGGGCCTTTGCCAAGGGCTTTGCGCACATTTTCTCACTCAGCCCTCGCGGTAAGCCTGTGACACGGGTCCCACAGTTGGCAAATTTTTTACAGGTGGGAACACTGAGGCTCAGAGAGCTTGTGTCACTGACCCAGAGTCTCACAGCCAAGAAGTTACGTCCCTGGCAGAGAAAGGATTCCCACCGTGCCTGGACTAAGCCCAGGTTCTTAACCGTCGTGCTATGAAGCCCCCTCAAGAGCTCCCTGCCCCCGCCCCCCGCCAGAACCCTGAGGCTAGCTCAACGGTTGTGTGTCCAGGAGGGGAAACCAGGCCACAGAGAAAAGGCCCTCTGTGTTGGTAGCAGAGTCAGGGCAAGGCCTATGGCCTCCAGCCTCCCTTCCCAGGGCTCCCCATACCAGAGCCCCCCCCAGCCCAGGAGGAACTCCCACCCCAAAGACATGCCCGGACTGACTCCATAACAATTAGTCCTCAGAATCTTGTCTCTTTCCTCTGTCCAGGAGGAGGTTTGCAGGAAGAGAAAAGAACAGGAAGGGCCCAGGAAATCTTTGTCCTTATAGACAAGGCCCTCGGTGCTCAGGAGGGTCCTGCAGAGCACCCCTCATCCCCGCAGCAACCAGACCCTGCAGGCCCAGCACTGATCTCCCCCACCCCAGGGTAACTGCCAGTTTCACACCCCTGACCTGAAATCTCCATCCTTCTCCCCAAACCTGCTCATCCTGCAGCCTCCCCTGCTCTCCGTAAATGCCAACACTGTCCTCAGGGCAGCAGCCTTGCCATGGGCACCCTGCTCCTCCCACACCCCACCTGGAATCCACTGGCTGATCCTGCAAAATCAATCCAGCATCCGACCCCTGGTTGCCTGCCAGGCCGTGCCCACACGGAGGTCCTCCCTCATCCGCGTGACTGCAGCGGCCTCCCGGCCGGGGTCCCACTTCCGCTTCCAGCCTCTCCTCCTCGCGGGAGCGCCGTACGTCCCAGCACCTTGGGCCTGCGCCCAGCCCTTCAGCAGCTTCCCCTTTGCTCAGACTGAACAGCAAGGTCCCCTCAGTGGGCTCGGAGCCCTGCACGCTCCCTTGGGCCCTCTCTCCCACTAGGATGGCTCTTGTCCTTCCTGCCCAGCCGCACAGGCCTCCTTGCTGTTTTTCCAGCACCCCCACGCCCTCCTGCCTCAGGGTCTTCATGATGCTATCCCCTCTGCCTGGAAGGCTCTTCCTTCCTCGGGTAACCCTTGGCTCCCCCTCCCCCTCCTGGCGTCTACTGTCCCCTTACCAGAGACTTTTGGTGACCACCTGCCACAGCAGAGCCACTCCCTGAAAGTCACACTTTCTGGCCCCAAGCCAGCTTTACCTTTCTTCCAGGCACTGCTCACTGCCCGACTAACAGCTAGAGCCAAGCTAGTGTTTGCTGGTTTGCTGAATCTATCCCACTGCTACAACGTCAGCCTCGAGTCCTGGTCTGTTTTGTTCACTGCTGTGTCCCGTGCCTAAAAAAGAAGCTGGAACAAAGGAGCAAGACCACCCAGCCTGGATCCACAACAGGAACCGAGGCCACGTCCAAGTGGCCAGTGGAATGCCACTCTTGGCCTGG